TTGTCGGGTATGGTCTACGGACAGACTGTGCATAATGGCTTGAGATCGCGTGCTTTGAGGCTCGTACATGAAACCTTCATTACGAAGTAACCAATTCTATCGATAGAATTGTGCCAAACACGAGAACAATCGGACTATTTGCCGATAGGTAGATGACCAATTATGGGCAGGCAACCCCAAGGTAAGGTACCCCGTAGTTTGAACCGCCTCTAGTAAGATCTGACAGTCTGATGTGGCGGATGCCAGCGAACGATCGAGACCGTGCGAACGGGTTAATTCCCGTCAGATCAAAAGGTCGTGAGATGTGCCTGCGTCTGAATATGGGCATGTCCGGACCGATCACGCGAGTGCCACAAGTAGTATATCCCACTTAGGCGTCCCTCGTATCGAACGAATAGCAACATTGGCGATACTTCGGCGCGTTTTTCCAAGCCGGAATCCTTCAACCCCACCAATATCCCTCATAGAGGCATATTAGTCGGTAACAGATTGGAACTTCTGCTTTAATACGCAGGCTCGTGTGTTTTGTCTAATCCTGAGACTGCCAAGATAGAGAAGTTGGCTTGGCTCTCCGGGATAATCTCTACTTAAAGCTAGGGAAGGGGGTTTAGCCGGATATAATGGCTTAATGTAGGGTTACATAGACTTCGCAGCGTTGATTTTATAAAGACGCCTAAGAGGGGAGATTAAAGCCAAGTAGAGTTTTCCCAATCCAATAGAAAGTCAAGGCGATCCTCAACTTGTCCCGAACAGCGTCGCATTGCCTAGTGTCTTCCGATGGTCGCATCCCATCTCTTATATATTCTTCCTTATAGCCTCCAATAAACTGTCCAATCCCTCTTCATATACATAGCATCTGATAGGGATCATTTCCCCCCCCCACTTCTTCCGACTATTCTCCGACTGTTCTTCCGATGACTCCAATACTTAGTTTGACCAAAACATAAAGGTACCGTTGAACAAATTCCATATATTATTTTGTCTCTTTCTGTTTCCTCTTTTGTTTTCCCTCTGTCCCGTCTTAAGCAGGGAGCTTTACACTTCCATTCTTCACCCAATCCCTCAGGGCCATCTAGGGGTATTTCCTTAGCCCAAAAGATCCCCCCCCGTATATAGTCTGTGTCATCCCATCTCCCCGAATCCCCCAGAAATATTGTTTTCATTATCTGCGCAATCTGTGCATACCAAATTCCAGGGTATGTACGGAATAAACCATAGATGGGGATTCCCAATTCTAGCATGATCGTCGTGTTTTCTCTTTTTCCCCCGCAGCCCGGACGACCTGCAGACCGCGTCACCGAAATGTTATCTTCCCTTTGTTGCAACCTCGCTAACACAACAAGACTAGCTCTTGGGGCATTGGATTAGCGCCGGTAGCTTGTCTCCACAATTCAAGGATTTTAAGGATTTTAAGGATATGCTGCCCTGTCTCTATTCCTAAACATTCCAGACCCTACACGTCACTATTGACATAGCTGTCTCGGCTCATTTTGTCTGGAATTTTCAACCTGACATAAGGGGTTTTTTTTAAAAAAAAAAGTTGGGGTATATCTACTATCCTCCATCATGGCCTCGGTTAACTCAAAATCGTCCAAGAAGGATGAGGACGAGGAGCGCGAAATCATGCACGACGATCTGATTGAAGATGAAGAGGAGGCTAGTTCGGAACTAAACGCCGTTGAACAAGAATGTCTGGCGCACCATCAACAATTGGACGAATTCTTGTCACCGCTGTTCCTGGATGAGGCTGTGCTGTATAAACTGGCCCGGCGCTTTTCCACCACATACCGCAACCTTGCCCTGACATCGGACCAGCAATTTTTGCCAACACCCGTGACTCAACTTCCTACTGGCCGGGAAACCGGTCGCTATCTGGCGATCGACGTAGGAGGTAGCAACCTTCGAGTCGCTTTTATCGAATTGCTCGGAGAAGCCGTCGATTCCGATGTTCGGCCTACAGATGCCACGGAGAGGTCACGCGACACTATCCGGAAAGCTCAGCGCCAGCGGGTGAAGCGAACGCTGGAACGAGCTTGGCCTATTCAAGAACATTTGAAGATGGATAAGGCTGAGGATCTCTTTTCTTGGATCGGGGATTGCATTGCGGAGGTGGTAGCGGAGAGTCTATCATCGGATGCTACTAAAAAGGACATCCCCGCCGAATTGGACATGGGAATCACATTCAGTTTCCCCATCATGTGAGTTTTCCCCCTGTGCTTGTATTATGGTGTCGGGCTGTGTGATTCCCTTCGCGTTGTAGTGGATTTTGTACTAACTAAGCCCAGGCAAGAATCATTAGCAGAAGCCACATTAATGCCCATGGGGAAAGGCTTCGCTATCTCGTCAAACCTCAATCTTGGCAATATACTTCTAGATGGATATGAAAAACACACAAGGCGACCCGATGATGAAGACGAACCTTCAACCAAACGTCGAAAGCTTTTTGCGTTACCAAAACTGAAAATCCAAGCTATCACCAACGACACGGTGGCCACACTAGCTTCCCTTGCATACAAGGTCAAATCTCTACCAAACAGCAGAGTCGCCATGGGTATCATTGTGGGTACTGGCTGTAACGCAACCATCCCAATGAAGCTTAGTGCATTGCACGAATCGAAAGCCAAGAGTGTGAACATAATGGAGCCTAGCGCTGTGGAGACTGTTGTCAACACCGAGTGGACTATTTCAGGTGCTGCGCCACCACTCAAGGAGCTCAATGTGACCACGAAATGGGACATTGAGCTAGACCAGGCATGTTCGCGGCCAGGCTTTCAACCCTTTGAATACATGACTGGAGGCCGCTACATTGGTGAACTAATTCGCTTGATCATATTCGACTATCTCACAACAGTAGCCAAATTATCGAAACGCTCCCTACCTGCAAACCTCATCCAAGAATACGCCCTGACAACCACATATATCTCCGACGTTGTTGCTAAAGCCCGATCTGACAACGATCTCGCCAAAGCCTTGAACAAATCCCTCCCCCCACCGGAGTGCAGCGACTGGCGCTGGGATGTCCGAGCCGCGGGCACATTCCGAAAGATCGCTCGCACGGTACAGAGACGATCAGCCGGGCTGATCGCCGCCGCGGTGGTCGGACTACTAGCCTGTGCTCGCGAGATCGAGCTGAAGGAAGATAGCAACAGCAGCTCACCCGAGAATCCCGCTTCACCTCAGACCCACGGCGACGCCATCACTGAATTCCTTAGTGCACCGGACGCTGCGGCTGCAAGCCTCAACTCTGCCGCTGTTTCTGCGAGCCACGCAGCCCAGGAACATGTCGTGCCTGTCCTCGATCCTACACCGATAGATTGGCAGTCCGGTCCTGAAGAGCTCGTCGTGGCTTACACTGGTGGCATTATCCAACATTACCCGCAATTCAAGGAGATGTGCCAGCAATACATTGACCGTCTTATCATGCGAACTGGCCCGCAACGAGGTGGGAAGTCGGTATTTTTACGGGAAGCATCCGACGGTGGTGTCATTGGCGCTGGTGTTTTGGCTGGCATGGTTGTGCGGAAATGAGCTTTTCTCTGAAATGTTAGCAAGCATTGGTCTGTCTTTGTTTTTTTTTCCCTTTGGGTGGAATTCGGCAATGCGAAAATGGTTCGAAGTTAGGTGTTGATAGGATAATGTCTGTTTCTTTGAATTCAAGTTGGGGCTCACTGCATAGAAATGATATCTGATTTCTGCCATTGTGATCCTATTTTGGACGGTCCTGATTCCATTGATTTATTCTTTCATTGTACTTGGACCAGTCCATTTTCGGCTCCATTATATGGCTCGCTATGTTTACGGTCTCTCATTTTTCTTGTCAAAATCCAATTCTACAAGGAAGACTTCACCGCCGATCAGAGCGGCGTTGAAGCCCGGCCTATGGGGCACTACCCCGAGTACTGGCAGGACGTGCATGCAATTCACCGCACTTGCTCTGGCCCGAGACCCTGCACATTGCAATGAAGTCATCTCCTAACGAAATGAAAGCTTTCCAATGGCACATGTGCAAGAATATTCCAACTATTGAAAGTCGAGAAGTTCACAGCGAGAACATTGTGACTGATTGCGTGGCTCCACCTAAGGAATCGTCATCGGAGAATGCACGAACACCCGAAGAGCGGAATGCATTTGATTATGCATGACCTTGTATCTGTATCAAAGAAGGGCCACATGCACATATTCGGACTAATTAGGCAAAGCCAACCGCAGCCAAGGCTGGAAATCCTCATCTATGTTTTCAGAAGCAAATTCAAGTCTGGTCCTGGTAGACGTCATTAACCCCCGAGGCCGGAAGGAAACGGTGAGAACATTCCTTTCCCACAGGGGGCCAAGTCTAGATTCCAGAACATGAGACTTCACTTGATATATATCGTAACATTTGAGATGGTCAAGGTTTGTTCTTGTCTTGAGATATGTTGAGGTCGAAGATTGCTTCAGATTATTCGAAACATGTTGTTTCGCACGCCGCGCTTCATTGCATTCGGTTTACCGTCTTCGTATTCAATTCCAGAGGCTCCACCTTCTCCAGACATATGTTCCAGCCGCTCACGAAGCTCGGCGTCGGCTTCGGAGACAGTTTTGGCCTTAGGTGAGAGCTTGTTGTCTTGGTTCGAGGAGTCGTCTGGTGTCTGATTGGTTTTTTCTTGCTTGGATTTAGTAATTTGGTAGCCTTGAGAGTCTAAAATTCCGGAGCATTGCAGTTAGCTCTGACTTGGGCATTTGAACGGAACTGACTGACCTTGAGCTTCCGATGGTCTGAACAAGCTTGTCGATAAGGATCGTACACAATTAACTTGCAATTGACTGAACAATCTTCTATTGAGAGGAGATCGAGGCCCTAACCCCTTCACAATCATAATGCAGTAGTTTTAAGAATTTGTCGTATGTTAACTGAGAGTTTTGTGATGTCAAAAATAAGTTCCAACACATTCAATTCATCTGACTCTGACTGACGCAATTTGAGATAAGAATATGCACGTGACTATATTTAAGATCACGTGATGGCGACCGCCCGCCGCGATTCGGCCGGCGATCATGAACTTGCTCCTGTCAATCACTCCCCCGATACTCTCTCGACTAGTCTGCCATTATTTTATCTCAGAATGGCATCAGTAGCTTACTATGAGCTTTACCGTGGCAGCAGGTAATATACCCTATGAAACAAACGGAAAGTTTCAGAACTGACCCAAGGAACATTCAGCCTCGGGTTATCCCTCACCGATACCCTCGACGACCTGATCAATGAGGGCCGTATCGAGCCCCAGCTGGCGATGAAGATCCTTGGGACCTTTGACAAGATTGTCACTGAAGTCTTGGCGGACAAAGTTCGGGCCAGACTGACCTTCAAGGTAACTCATTCCGGTTCAGAGAACACCCTTGCCCAGATGAGCATTGCTTGATCATAGTTCAATGAGGCTGATGTGTACATTTTTCTACTTCTTTTAGGGCCACCTTGACACCTACCGATTCTGCGACGAAGTCTGGACCTTCTTGATCAAGGATGTCTCGTTCAAGCTAGACAACCAGACGACTGTATCCGCGGACAAGGTGAAGATCGTGAGCTGCAATAGCAAGCGTCCTGGTGAGGTGTAATCGGACTTTTGCTTGCAGAGATGCTGGCGTTTCCTTTCTTTTTTTTTGTTTCCCTCGAATGGCGTTCTACCGGCAGTTCGTTCTTGATTTCGGTGATATATCCTGCACGGGGCGTTTGAGGCCATCCCAGTTCTTTTCATCTTGCATTACCAATGTCCAAAATGACATTAGATACCCCAAATAACGAGGCTTATACTTGCAAATTCTCCAGTCCGTAGGGAAGCTCCAAATCGAAGATCTATTTTGCGCGGAATGCGGGTGACCTCACCTTATCGGCTACGGATGCCTATCAGCTCTCTTTCCCTCCTCACTGTAATCTTTCCCTAAGATCACGACACCAAGCGACCTGTTAATTTCGGTCTATATTATCTTAATTATGCCCAGGACATTGCCCTGGCTTCGCGCTGAGAATACCACCCCTGTGAAAAAAAAGTCAACACCGCGGAAGCGCGTGAAGACGGAACTTGCTGATCGCGACCTCACTCCCAAAAACCCTCGAGTTTCTCCCCCCAGGCGTGATTTCTTCAGATCATGTAGGTCTCCTCTCATCTTCGAATATTCGTGACGAAACATAAAGTCTGATTACTTTGTACAGCCCAAAGCCCGCCGACCTCTCCCATCAGACGTTGTCCATCCGAAGAGTACGATCGCAACCAGACCACGCGCAACCAGACGAAGTCGCTAACAAGCACGTTATAGATTTTTGATTGAGGGTATTGAACACGATGACGGCTGGGTCATGGTCGAGGACGAGTTCTACGCCGTCGCGCAAACATTTACTCAACATCTACATCACGCCGAGTACCTGCGACGGCGAAAGCAGGTGAAAGCCGAACACGCAGCCGGGATAAGAGAAATTGAGAGGCCTACAGACGGGCGTACCCCACTGCCAAATGAGGTTGAGCGAAAAAGAGAAGCTGAAGCGCTGAGGGAGCGACAAAAAGCTGGACTCGCACATATAGGGGATGGAGGAGTCGAGGAGAAAGATGAAGAAGATGATGATGATGATGATGAGAGATGGGCTGGAACACATCTTCACGACCTTATGACGAGTCCACGAAAAACACGGTCTTTAGCGGGAGCTCACGCGCCAAAGTCCTCTACTAGAGCTGCTGCGGGCTTTGGACAAGCACCGACTTTGGGTACTGGACGAGCCCGGGTGAACAGTATCGGAAGTGTCACTGCACCGTCAAGGGTATCAGAAGTTATAAGCATTGAACTGGATGAAGAGACGGCCTCGGGCTCGGATGACGATGACGATGACGATCTTGACCTAGAACCCCGGCCAGTTCTACCACCGCCCAAGGGAACAAATTCCACTTTACGAAAAGCTCAGGCTCACGATCAGACAACACTACGAGCCCGGCAACAATTTGAAATACCAAGCATGTCTACGTCAAAACCGAAAGCGAAGCCGACACATGGGCGACCCAGTCCAGCGAACGCGTATAAATCACGGGTTCAATCGCTTTTCGATGACCTCGATGAACTACCAGAGTCATCTCGGATAAATAACTCTATCTCTAACAAGTCCAAGGAACCTCCTGCAAGACAATCGCCTGTAACGGGCGGAGGGAACAATTTAGATGCAAAAAGATCCCGGCACACCGAAGTGCCCACCTTCTTGGTGTGACCATCCATATACCAATGCACAATTCTCCTATGAACACGCCAATTCGGCGTTTCGCATTTCCTCCATCTTGATCGATTCGGCCGGGGCCTTAGTTTCATGATCTGCAGCTGGGCTTGATTTCCACTATCGGGATAACTTCACGCGCTCTCGGATAGTCTCACGCTCATTCTTCGAACATGGGCCCGCATCTTGCTCTTCGTTGACGATGGTAGCGATAGCATCTCGATCGTTGTTTCGTCCTTCTCCACGGTCGCTATGCGGCTGTCCTCGGACGTAAGCGTCCTGTGATTGATTGGTCAGATTTGATCGTTCCGCTGGATCTTGGCTGGGCGAGAGAACTGACTCGGCATCAGAAAAATAAGCAGGCAATTCTTCTTTTCGGAAGTTAGTGGGAGGACCCTGTTTCATAAACTTGTTAGCGACCATCTTTGCAATGACGAACCATTCCCCGGTCTTCGACTCGACTTACAATTTCAATAATTCTTCCCTTGTCGCGTTTGAAAGGTGCCTTCAGGCACCGGAAAATTTGGCGAAAGCATTCCATGTTGGATTGATGGTGTTTCGATTTGACCCGGTCGGCGGATAAGGAGCTCTTATAAAGTGCTAGGCGATTCTCGGGGACTTGCAACAATGGCGATTCCAGCTAGGATGTCCTTGGATGCGAACAAGGAAATGAAAGGAATAAAGGCGACGCTTGGAGGTGCAACAAATACTATACAACGAGTGACAAGGCGAAACGAGAGACTAGGGATGACAACACCCAAAGAAATTAGAATAAAAAAGAAAAAGGTTGCAACCGCTTTACACCATTGAGGTGTGCTTAGAGAATGAAAGAGAGTCAAAGAACAGGCGGGCGAGAGCACATATATTAGTATGGAGTTATGCACATCTATGCTATTCTCGGCGTGTCAAGGACGAACCGATCCACAGTCTCACCCCGGTCTAACTAGGCCACCGTCTGGCATGGAGAGAATGACAGGCTCGGTAGGACTCCAATCTGGCAGTTCGCTCCCTGGCGGCAGCAGTGGGTCCTCCCTGGGGAGCCTGTCTTGAATCGGATTGGCTTTGCGCAGAGAGTTCCGAATGCTTGAAGTCCCTTTGACCTATTCCGGCTCTTGAGAGTTCAAGTGTCTATCCCCCGAGGCGATCTCGCTTCTATGGGTATCTATCTCTCACCCACGATCTGCTGCAACTCATCGGACGCAATATAGATGGGCATTACAAGCGGCAGCCATGACCTGCAGCCTGCAGGGAAGATATGCTGGCGTTAGAGACCCATGCAGATTAGGTATTCGCCCCTCAGTGGATCAAGTGCAAAGCAGCCCAGACCAAAGGGGTAAAAGGGAGAAGAAGCAAAGAAAACCTCGTGTCCTGGCGAAACATATCCCTCTCATTCTTCGTGTCTCCTTTTCCACTTCTGGATTAGGGACTTATCTTTCTTTAAAGTTTTGTCTATTCGGTTTTTTCTTTTTTTTTTTTTTTTCAGTACACAACATTTCAATAATACTAACTAGCCGCCGATCCCTTAAATCCCCGTTTGCCGGGTCGGATATGTGCATGAATGAACCCTGCGAGGGTCTTGGAAGCTCGGGATTCCTTGTTCTTAGCTCTGGGGAGAATTGGTTTTTCTTCTTTTCCATGCAAGCTCACCAGCTCAATTGAAATGTTTCTTTGCCTCGTTTTCTTTGTCTTTGTCTCGGAAACCGGGGGTTCATAAGACCCGGTTCTCGGCAACCAATTTTAGGATGCATCGTCGATCATTAGCTTCGTAGCCGTGTCGATCGATTACGAATTTATCACTGACAGGGGTGATCCTTCGGGTTGAGCCATTGTTCGCGTTAGATAACTGTGTGTTCATATCCACCCCAGTGTATTTGGTAGTCCTCTTGGAGGTCAAGTGTATACACAGATTCAAAGACAATTAGGGCAATTATGAGACCTTTCACAATGAGAACATCACCCCAATGTTCCAGCCACATTGGCCATTCCGAAACAAGGCAAATTTCTCCATTCGGTTTCCCGTTTCCCGTTCAATCGAAATAAAAGACCTTGCGGGTGGCTGCGAGGCTCGGGAATGGTTGGCGCGTTTTATTATTTCCCGTCTCCCTTGCTTCGGAGCAATGCCGAGTCAAAGAACAGCTCACAAAGGTTTTACGCAGTGCTCATTCATATCATCAACTTTAAGATGGAAGACATAAGAAGAACTGATCCAAGATATCTTTTACTCTAATTTCTCTATGTCAGGTATAATTGTTGTAGGTTGTTTCACTGAGAAAACAGAGTAGAGCCCTAACTTAACGAAACCGCAGGGATGAGGAATTCTTCGACCCTGAGCCAAGTCCGAGTGAAAGTATGAAGAGTTCTAAGATACGCTAGTTGATATATTTACGAGAACTCAATCTAAACATCTATTGAATCTTATTGTCTTCAGGTATCCAACGTATACAATTCTGGTAAACGTTAAACCCATGGGTACCAAGCTCGGGTTTGGTATGCTTGCAATCCTCGCAATGCAAGGCTCTTCTAGATCTAGAGTTTTCAGCTAGAAACCCCGGCGCCTATCTAAAAACAATATATTATTGGCGTATCGGCTAGCTCCGGTAGAGTGCTTCGCGAACCTGAAGCTTGGCTTACATTCCTGGCCATTAAACTCTAGATCTAGAAGAGCCTTACTATTTTGCCGGTAGATATATTTCCTTGCGCTGAGGATCCATTCTTGTTGGAAATTTGCACACAGAAATATTTGCACTCTGCGGATCAACCCACAAATGCTCTGGATTTATCTGTGCTATAGGAGGGTGACAGGTTATGAGTATGTTAATAATCTTAAAATATAGGTCTGTCCAAATACCAAGTTTTGGATTAGTGCAGGGCATATAGCCAAGTCAGGAAGCTTTAGCTGCTGATATATAATCTATACTAGAAGTCCCTAGGCTGCTGCATGGAATAATTGGTAGCGTATATATGATTGCGAACGAATATAACATGCGGTCTATTCTTTCACAGTATCTATATGTCTCATAAAATCAGATATGTCGACACTTGAAGCAGTTACTGAGAACTTCAGAGAACTCCATCAGTGAAGTCAATGACTTGTGCTTTCTCGATGAGCCCATCAAGAGTTTTAACGAAGGCCAGATGAGAGGGATCGCTTTGTACATAATAGTCTCTATCTGCAGCACTCGCAAACTCTACGACAAATGCGTGTGTAATGCCATTCTATCATGCATTAGTAAGATATCCTCAGAGTTCGTCCTCTAGGATCCCAGGGAACTTACTTGAATACCTTCGGTAGAGTTATCCTTCCCGCCGGACGATGATTTGATATAGGGCTGCTGGGAGGTGGGATGGACGCAACTGTCCTTGAGACCTAGCATACGTTCACAGGCCTTTTGCGGTAATTGTCAACATCCATTAAGGGTTTATAGTTCACAGTCAAGTTCATCTGTGATAATTTTGGTAAAACGTACATCGTGGACAACCTCAGCGGCTACTTCCGGCTTGAACTGGAAAAGAACGATATGGGTAATCGACATGCTGGATATTTCTTCTGTATGATAGAATAATGGAGGAGGGTCAGAGTAAGGACATTGTTAGGAGCGGGGTAGTATAATTTCGATCACATGACCGAAGTAGTTTGAGTTGCCGAGGGTCGGATTCTTTAGAAGACACGAAAGGAAATGAACAGTTGACTGAGATGGATGAAGGAAAAACAACTCCTTCAAACAACACAAGGGCTGCCCGATTTAATGGCCGTGCAATGACTTGCGAAGTATGAATTCACTTTCTTTCTAGACACCCTTGAAATAGCTCGATGCTTGATTATTCATTCAATAAGGCCTACATCATTGACACGCCCTGTAAGATAACTTGAACCAAAGTCAAAAGAATGCTAATGCCGCCGAACATAGCCACAAGCCAAAATGTCCACCACGTCAAAGTATCACGTCTGTCTTTCATCAGACTGAAGATTGAGCTTGGTCTTGCATCCTTGAGATCATTAGCCATGAGCTCGATCCTGTCATACAGCACGGGAAAGTCTCGGGCAGCGAAATAGATTGGCTTGTCGGCTGGGAGCATTGTCAACGCAATCCGCTTCTGGGTGCACAACTGAAAAAGTAAGGAATCTGTCGGGTGGCCCTGCAAATCCGACATCGTATATATTTGGCGAAAGAGTTTCCTCGATAGGGCCGACTGGGCAAAAAGAAGACGATAGGATATAAGCACCTCTTGCAGAAATAGCGAAATTTCCTCTTCGTTTGCACGAGGATCCCCTGAGAAGCTTTCAGTGCTAGAAAAAGAGTAGATCAACCCGTGGGATCGAAGCATTTCAAGACAAAATGACGGATATCTGAAGACCGATAAGGTCTTAGTGCTTTTGTCATAGTCAAGGTGCAGTGATAGAGTATCGACCCATCGAATTTGAACACGAAGCAAAACATGAAGTAGATATGCGTTGGTCTCTTCGGGGTTCAAGGGTTGCCAAATAGATGCTATCCCACCAGCCTCGCTTGCAAGATAGCGAGAATTCGAGGATCGCGCCGGTAAAAGGTGCCCAAAAGCTTTGAGTAGAACAGAAATCGGGCGGTCGGACAGTTCAGCCGGGATTTTATACATATCAAAAACAAGACCTGACTGTGGCTGGTCGGAGTCTTCATGGATAGCTAATTCTTGCATTGAGCAGACGTTGAAAGCAGCTTAATACAACATAGAACGCCAACCAAGAGCGGCAAAGACAAGAAGCGTTTGATGGCCGTGCAGCGCCTTTGTGTGATCGAAGACTCCAGTTTCTCGTAAATATGCAGTGATTTCATCAATAGAGACCGCCTCGGTCTCCCGCGCGCAGTATTCTTCAATGCCCTCAAAAAGAGTATTTAGGCTCTGCTTGTCTTGAATTTTGCATGTTCCAACTCGGAGTTGCACAAGGCTGTGAGGTAGATTCTGCAGCTGCTGAAATAGCCACGGGTCGTACCAGCTCATATCGATGCTAATATGCGTGGTATGTGTCCTTCGTAGCTTGACCCGAGGTTGTATTTTTCGCAGGTCATTGTGGGAGTCCTTAGCAAAAACCAAAAACGCTCTAGAGATAGAAATCTTATAGGCTCTTTGATTTCCTGTAAGTCACTTAATAAACATTCTTCGTAGATGAGATAGGCTGCTGTGCTACTAACTGGCTTTGTTGGAAACCATAGTATGGCGTTATTATAGGAAAAAATGAAAACGCTAATCCGTTTCTTGACTGCTGCCGGATAGTATAGGATTAATATTGACCAGGATCGCATTTGTCCTATCGCTTTCATCCCCGCCACTAAAATTACCCAGCCGCATTAACCCCTCCATGACTGTTTCAGCTTTCAGCTTTCAGTACATTGTGGGCGCGTATACTATGTGGAGCAAATAAGCAGAAAGCTTATTGGTTGATATGAAATAGCGTGCTATGACGGACCGAGCCTTTCTTAATTGAGTGTATGTGGCTTGGCGATCTGATTTGGAATCTTACCGTCTCGGTTTAACGGAGGAAACGTCGTATGTCGGATTTTATTAGGTTTGTCTAATTGGAAATGGAAGTAATGCACTCGACTATGGTAAGAAGGTTTTCGGTATTCATTATATGACTTGGGCAACGTATCATGTAGGTCGACATAAAACGCTCACTTAATTGGCCTTGGCGGGCGCTTAACCTTCGACAATGCTGAACTTCATGCAGTGAGGGACGATTCATAACTTGTGTGATGAGCAGAATATTATCGGGTGTCCACAGGAATCCATCCCCTGTTTTCTTCCATTATACGAACGCGAGAAGTCGACAAGGATTAGGGCCAAGATACATACCAAGATACCAAGATTAACCCCCGCATTTTGCCGGCCAGTTGAGACGGTTTTGCCTATGCCTAGATGACCGTAGCTATTCCTATGTGGTTTGCTTGTCTATAAAAAAACCTGCTAAGAATATATTCGCCAGATAAACTATGTCTTCGCAACATGAAGATGGGCCAACGAGTTGCGAGGCTTCCTCTCGATCCCTGTCCATTGAAGGGAAAATACTGCTGAATATCCTTGCCTTCTTCGATCCGCACGCAATACCAGAATGGCTACTTTCCAACCCAAAAGCCAATATTACAGATCCGAGTTTGAAATTCTTGTCAAATGATTCACGGTAGGTTGCTTTTATCTTCTAATATATAATTTTTTTTTTCTTATAATGAACAGGTTCAGGAGTGCGCTCATGGATCTAACAAATGCATCGCTCATTGTTCTATCACCTGAACTAGAAATGATCACATTGGACCAAATCACCCAGTCTACTGTATTCTCGGGCTTGCCTAAAGCAGAGTTATCAATCTACTTAGACTCTGCAATTCAGCTGGTATCTTCCAGTTTCCCAAACTCGTGGATTGAAAGGACAAATGAGCAAAGTCACGGATGGAAATCATGGCAAAGCTGCAGCACACTCTTTCCTCATGTCATCAGGCTTATGAGACTGGTTGAAACTCATTCGCTCAAGCCTACCGACATAGAGCTCTTTGCGGGGCTGATCTTCCGTACTGGAACGTGAGTTGCATTCCTCCGAGCAAATTGATTATTGTTTGGCTCTAACTTTACAAAGATACCTTTGGGAATGCGAACAACCAACAAACGCGCGCTACTTCGTTGAATATGGTCTTTCGCTTGAGCTCAGTCATTCCACTCAATCTTACGCGCATGCCTGCCGGCTTCTAGGCCATATTGCTTTGGATTTGGCCCAGCCAGAGTCTGCGTTAAGTGCCTACCAGAAGGCATTGAGAGTAATAGAAGAAATAGAGGAAGAAAATTCACCTCTAATTTCAGACGTATACGACTCGATCGCGTGCAGTTATACCGAGCAAGAAATGGTTACCGAAGCATTTCGATATCTTTCAAAAGCGGCAGCTATCCACAAGGCACACAACCCGCTTCATATGGCTCGAACATACGCAATCTACGCCATGACACATCTCCGAGCGGAACAACCAGACGAGGCATTAATGACACTGAAGAAATGCTGGCAATTACAAAACTTGACTGAAGAGCAGATCATTGATTCCAAGTATCCCAAGCACAGTGGAGATATTGTTCTCTTAGCGAGAATCAAGTATGCTCAAGGGTTGAAGCAAGAGGCTCAGCAGCTTGCTCTTAAATCCATTTCCATTCGCAGAGAACTTTACGGAGATAAAGGACCTAGAGTGGCTGACTCCATGTTTCTGGTTGCTCGGATGTTGGAAGCTGCCGATGAGAATGTTTTAGCTGCAAAGATGTTACGCGCAATTCTCGACATGAGCCGAGGTGTGTCTGAAATGCAGGGACATCTCGCTCGAGCCTTGTGGTTTCTCGGGATCTTAGAGCGACGATTGGAGAACACTGTTTCTGCTGAGCAGCTCAAAGTTGAAGCTTTGAATGAGCGCAATAAGCTTGGTGAAAGAGGTAATTTTGTTGAGGAGACTGATCACTCTTTCGAGAGCCTGGTTGGATGGATGCTCTGGTAGAAATGACCTATACATGAGCTGCATATTAGCTAGTTTGATAAAGTCTTCGCTTCTTGCCTTCGGAGCACTACGTCTTGAATTGCAGTATTATGAATATTATGAATCATATACAACCTCTAGTAGTAAAATCCCTGCGAAGCTTATCCCATACGATCAATCATCTCTTTCAACTGAGACTACTACGCACCTCCCAATTGACCCTCTCAATGTCCCAAAATTAACCACTATAACAATTATTGTAACAGAAACTCTTAAATGCCAACAGCAAAAAAATTAAGAAAAAAAAAGAGATGACCGACGCAGGGATCGAACCTGCAATCTCTTGATTCGTAGTCAAGCGCCTTGCCATTGGGCCAGCCGGCCGCGTTGTAATCTTCGAACAAATGTGCTTTATAGGGCAAAGCAGAGTGGGACCAAGCCTAAATGCTGTTTGACGCTCACCAGGGTCGACTTATTTGATTTCAGTAGGTGCAATTAGAATTTATGATTGAATATCTACCATTTAATATTGTAATCTACCATAAAAACGTTTGCATTGCTTCTTTTGCGTCATTTTTGAGGAATTGTACTAGCACGTGATATCACGTGGGCTGGACATACGACTCTGCAATGGCGCCCATCCGCCGGCTAAATATATCTTATGTGGATCTTTTCATCGTCCATACACCAAGAGATAATGATTATGCTCCACACGGAAGCTGGCAAACGGTAGAACGACTCGTAGAAGAAGGTCTAGTTAAGAAATTCGGTACGCATAGTCAGAATGCAAAACCCTTCTAAACTAGGAGAATAGGCAGAGCTCAATCTTCCAAAGCAAAGATCTAGTCAAGTGACACATCCTCACCCCCTCCATACCAGAGACGGCCTCTCCGAATGATTAGACCCTCTTGCCCGACAATCCATTCACCCCCCTCCCTGACCGTACTCTCCTTGGGCCAATACTCATTTTTCAACCTCTGGTTAATCTCATCAATTTTATCAATCAACAGCTTGACGCGCGAATGATCCACCGTCTCTCTGTCATCTGATCCCCTGACTAGAAACCCGTCCTGGGAGATGAACCTTGCGATGGTGAGATGTGCGGAGGGAACAATATAACGCGAAGCAACAGGGACCTTGGTTTGTCGGACCATGTCAAATACATCACGGCGAAGATGATGGTATGTGTAGTGCTCGTTATCGCTACTAGATTCCGTTTCTAGGCACTCGCCAGCAGCCGGAACAAAGCTGAGCGCTAGTGCGGCAGAATCAAAGCTTATCATAGGCTTGATGAGACGCGTAGGGTGGCTTCGTGGATATGCCGCAATATCCGCAGGCGTGACGCCCTTGGATGACAGGAGGGTCTGAACAAGTTCTTCGATTTGTTCTTCCGTCAGGGAATGAGCGGCTTCCAAGACAGTTATGTGAAGGTCTGAAGGTGGCATCAACCAGAGTGCTGTGGTCACTTATGTTAGCGAACTAAAGGGCTAAAAGGGAAATCCTGCGCTAGGGAATTGTATATCGGTGAACTTACAAGGAGAAATGCTCTTCAACTCATTCTGAATAAAGCATATAATGTCGCGAACTTCAGGCGATGGTCTAGCCCAAATGACAAGACAGTTTCGAGGATCAGCAAATCCGTCTTCCTTCCCAGGGCCATCAAGTCGCTTCAAAATCCCGTCAAGGGACCAGCCTGGAAAACTGTCGGCTAGAATTTGTGCACTTTGCTGGCTATTACGAGCCACTCGGTGGTTCTCGTATCGAGATTGTATTATTGCCTATTATTAGATCAAAAAGGGTTCAGCATCTGATATTATCTCATAATGCTCGCATCCACTCACCGAATCATCGTTTGCCTCGGCAATCAAGGATTGAAAGGGGTTTTCCTCCGACAACGGGACTGACATGATGACGAAGGTCTGGAGAGTTGATTGAGCTTATGTTGGTCCTCGCAATATGCCGCGGGGTGAGAGGTGAGTCAACTACAGTTGGCAGTTGTATTTTTAGCACCTGTCTGAAACAAACTAAAATAGCCGACAAAAGGAAACCCGTTACATGGAAAGGCGGAGCGCAGCTTTAGTCTGATATTAGAGACGAGAAAATAAGGTAGAAGTAAAATATAGATGTTCTAAGAATTTGGTGAACAATTACAAGCCAGCTTTTCCAAAAATTTGCTCAGGTGTGTCATGAAACCCTTCAAAGTATTCTATGAGCAAGATCTAGTAGCATTGAAGAGCACCTTTGCCAGTATACAGATAGTGAGCCTGGGATCTCACTGCAAAAAGCGAGGTCGTTGAGTCTCTTGCGGTCGCAAAAGATAAGTCCGTCTCTTCTTTTTTTATACTCTTATCCTGGCTGGAGAAAAGAAATTGTCGATTGCTGAGAATAGTACTCTTGATTCTGAGTCGTGGTCTACGTGATGAAATTTATTCGCCTGACCAAAATGTAATTATCTCACATGCACATGTTTATTTAGGGTAATCCTTGATGTGGTGGCTCTTCAGTTTGACAAACTGCTCAAATCCGAATCGACTTAGGGTAACACCGCGACCAGAGTTCTTCCAGCCTGTCCAAGCGAGATCCTGTGGGGTACTTTGGTTAGCAAAGGGGGGACAATAATATATATGCTAAGAGTTGCACTTACGGGACTAGGGTAGTCAGATCGGTTGACAAAGACAGTACCAGCCTCGACATGCTCAACCAGCTTCTCGGCCGCCGCAACATCCTTGCTCCAAACACTGGCGGTGAGACCGAAGTCGCTATCATTCATCAGACGAATGGCCTCGTCGTCACCCGAGACCTTCATTACAGGAATCACAGGTCCAAAGGTTTCATCCTTCATCACAGCCATATCATGATTAACGCCGGTCAGCAACGTAGGCTTGACATAATTTCCATTCGGAGGGAAGTTCTCAAAGGTCTCATTGGCAGGAGTCTCGTTCTTCGCCCCCTTCTGCACGGCGTCCTCGATTTGCGCGAGAACGGCCTCCTTCGCACGCTTAGAGACAACAGGTCCAATTTGTGTCTTGGGATCAGAAGGCTCGCCAACACGGTAGTTGCTCAGGACCTTCTTCACCTCAGCAATGAAACCACCATAGATCTTCTCGTGCACATAAACACGCTCGATCGCGCAGCAGCTCTGTCCACTATTGAAGATAGCACCATCCACGATTTCCTCAGCGGCCCAGGCAAGATCTACATCGTCCCGCACGTATGCCGGGTCCTTGCCGCCAAGTTCTAGACCAACATTCACTATCCGATCGGAGGCTGCCTTTTGCACTGACAGGCCACCAGCTTCGGAACCTGTGAAACAGATATGGTTCACCAGTGGGGATCGCACCAAGGTCTCGATAAATGTGAAAGATCCGCAGTGGAAGAATTGAAGCACATTTTCAGGAAGACCGGCCGCGGCAAAAGCAGAGGCAAATTGCTCGGCGATTGTTGGGGTCTGGGGAGAAGGCTTGAGGATAACAGCGTTTCCAGCGAGAATGGCTGGAATCAAGCTGTTGACAAGGGTGAGGTAGGGGTACTATATATTACTTATCAGCAGTCTGCAGGTATATCGATATCTCGACGAATTGAACTCACGTTCCAGGGGAAGATAATCAGCACCACGCCGACAGGTGAACGCTTAATATACCGTCTGAATCCCTTCTCCTCCTCCCCAGGCACAACTCCTTGCTCGCCTAGTACGGAGGTGCTAATGCGGGTCAAGTAACGACTGCGCTTGATGGCGGTCGCAATTTCACTACCAGTATAGGCGATAGGCCGGCCCATCTGCTCAGTAACCTCACGTGCCAATTCATCCTGCTTTTTCTCCAAGATGTCAAGAGCACGTTCCACAATTTTCTGCCTTTGTTCCAAAGTTGTGGATTGTGAGAATGACCGGAAAGCTGCTTGGGCGGCCACGGGGATCTGTTTCAAGTCCTCCGATGAGACACCGGTACGAGCGATAACAGGCTCATTGGTGGCCGGGGAGATAGTTGTAATAGTTTCGAGCGACATCATGTAAGGTATTTAAAATTCAACTAGAATGAAGAGAAGACAAGGAATTGGAGAAGATGTTGGGGAAGGAGGGGCAGTCACGTTACGCTCCCCGCTGTTTATCTCTTATCGCGAGAATGAGGTCATCCTCATTGAGCACTAGAGGGCTCAATGGCATTGTTCAAGCTCTATCTATAGATCTCTAACTAGACGTGCACCCGCCCATGTATAACGGTAGTTATGCTGATACCAGTTGACACTAAAATGTGTTAGTTGATCCATTTTGAATCTCATAGGGCTTATACTCACAAAGTCGTCCGGCCAGCAATGCGAGGCAGAGTTGCCCAGGAGCCCCCGAGAACGATATTGTGTTTTCCATCAAAGAAGTCCGCTATCGAGGCAAATAAGTTTGGGTTCGGTGGGGATGTTCAAGTATCACTTACCTGTGTATCCAGGGTAAATATCCATAGATTTGAAGCCGTCGTGCGGCTTCAAGGGCGTGCTAGTCCATTCCCAAACACCTCCCATTTCACTCTGACCAGCTAACCGATCGCCATTCGGTGTGACAGGAACAGGGTGCCAGTTTTGAAAGCCAACATTGCAACCGGTGAGATCACGGAAAGTAGTCTGATCAGTAGAGTGGGGCTTGCTACCATTATCAAGCCCGTTCACCCCATTCCTATTTTATAAGTTAGTTCCTGCTATATCATAGCTATGATTGTTTTCATACCTGTGGCCATTTGTAACTCTATCACCCTTGAGTTGGTCTGCGTAGTGATATATGCTCCTGGTCTCTTCAAACGTAGGGATCCTGCATTTCATGTACTTTGCATAGCTGGCCACTTCATCGTAGGAAGCAACCAAGGGCCAGTCTTGTGCAAATTTTAGAGCCACAGGTCCGAACACGGTTCGAACCGTGACGTCCTCCAGAGAAAAACCTGCAGGACTGGAGCTCGAACCGGCCTGGGCGCCTGAGGAACCAACACCCTTGGAAATGGGATTGTCTTGGCCCTGGTTAAATACCCAAGACGCAGGGTATGTTTGAATACCATTACCCTGTATGTATTTGGCATATTCGCCATTGGTGATGGGTCTCGCCTGAGCTTCAAAGGCATTCACGGTGGCTTTTCTTTGAGGCTTCTCGTTGTCCCATCCAAAAGATTTATTTGGTACAACTTCATCGTTGGAGTCATCCAATCCAATTTCGATAGTCTGTTGTGGAATGGTGAACCATTTGTTTGGCTTTTCGTTTCTCTTTGCCTGGAGACTGATTTGCTCAAAATTCGGGCGATCAACTCCTGTGGGAGGAAGAGTTTTATCGCTCTGAATTAGCATGTAGAGGAAAGTCTCGAGATGCATTGCTTCGTGCTCATATCCAATCCAAAGGGCCTCTCCAACAGCGCGGTCTTGCGACGCATATCCCTCTTGTAAGATTGTAAGTGCACGAGTCCGCACTTTCTCTTGGTAGTCGAGAATTTCGTCCAATGGCGGCCACTCATCAGGTGTTTCGCTGTGGTCATGGCATTGGCTTGGATCTTCCACATCCGGGTCAATACCACGCTCGAAAATCCGCTTATAATGACTGGGCTGAACAGATTTCTCTTGCAAAGCCCGCGTCATGTGAGTATCTAAGTTTCAGCATAATTAGCAGTGAACATGGCAAGCAACATTGAACATTGGAGACACACCAAAAAATGTCGGAATGTGCCCAATATAAAAGATCAGTGCTTTTCGGAGTTTGATCGGTTTAGACAGAAGCTCCTCGCGAGGGACCATGGTTCTGGTCGCGAGATCCCATGCAATCCACAGAGATTGAAAATTTCCGATACTCGGGATCGGCTGGGCTGCATACTTTGAAGGGTTCATAGAGATATGAAGCGCAGCAGGTGATAGCAGATGAAGGTCTGTTCAAAGTCAACAAATGTGCAATAACGATTCGAGTAGAACATGAGGGCTCACAATAATCTTCTGTCAAATTTCCAAATTCGACCTCGGAAATGAGGTTTGCCTTGCGCCACAGCTCATCCCGTTCCTTGCGACCGTACTTCCATGCCTCTTCGCATACCAGCTTCTCTCCCTTGACAATCTTGATCCCATTGATGACCACATCAACTTTCGGAGCATAACAGGCTTGATGCCGTCCTCCACGGGGATCATACGTAGTCAAGACCTCCCATTCACCAGCCTTGAAGGCCTGGAAGCCAAGAACCCTATTGGCATGCAGGAGGCCATTCTCATAGAATTGACGGGTAACACCTTTGGCATCGTTATAGGCATTAAACACTTTCTCCGGGTTCTTGCATGCATCCAATCCAATAAGCATGAAATCGGACGGGTTCAATTGCTTCGAAAAATTACCAAGAAATTCCGCAGCATCCGGAGGACTAAAATTGCCCATAGATGAGCCTATCGACAAGACTACCGTCGGGCGCTTGCGGTTTTCTGGGATTTTCAGCCAGTCGAGACCATCATCGTAGGTTCCATGAAGACCATGGAATCCTACATGGGTGAAGCTCTCGGGCGAAATTTCTGAGAATGTTCGTTTCAGCTCCCCCAATGAGAGGTCCAAAGCATAGTAGTCCACTTTCTTTTCAACCCGTTCGCATTCTCGAAGTAGAATCTCGACCTTGCGCAGGTTTCTAAAAAAAGAAGATCGTCAGAACTTGGGCCAAAGATCAAGATCACCAAGCCGCGCGAGGCGACGGATGGAGATGTGGGGAGTCACCGACCCACTTCCCAGCTCCACCAGCTGGGCATTCTCCGGAATGCGTGCAACTATCCTCTTCGCATGTTTTGTCAGGATTTCAATCTCCGTGTTGGTAAGATAGTATTCATCCAAGTAGGTGATATCCTCGAAGAGCTTCAATCCCTTGGTGTCGTAGAGTAAAAGGGTAGGGAATGAGCGCGGTTTGCCTTTCGGTGGGTCCAGGCTCTTGTAGATCTCATCCACCAGCGAGAATTCCATGTCATCCTGGTGGATGTTCACAATTTCAACCGTGTCGACGTTTCTGAGCAAGGTAGGAGACATGACTGCATGAATGTCAGTTCAGACGGGCATTAAAATTTAAAAAAAATCAAGGGATCAAGTCGGCGTACCTTGCAAACTAACTCTCTATGACAAATTATTAGAGAACGGAAAGATCGGGTAAGGTCCACGGGTTGTTATATGACGATTTGGCCTACAAAAGAGTAGTAAAATAAGGAAGGAAGTAACTCCAGACTACAGGGGGGTACTATGCAGACTTTATAAATGAATTCAAGGAACAGATTGGTCTCCAACCCGGATTTGTCTTGCTGAACGTGCTTGCAACACAACTCCCACCAAGTCTAGATTCATGGGCTGATCCGGTAAGTGGATTTTGCGGTAATATATCTATAGGATAGGATTGGACAGATTGAATTAGACAAGTCAGATTGGTCAAACAATTCACGCACCTACGAATGCCATTTACATCCGCGTCGGAAGAATACTACTAATTTGACTTGCATACTCTGCCGCTAAACAACTTTGGGTATTTCCTACCGGTTGGGCACTGCGGCCAGTACCGGAAATACCCAAAATAGCTCATTGGCCCGCAGTTACTCTTCCACTTTGTGGTTGCATCTTGCGAGTCGACGTGCTGTAGGTATGGAGTACGAAGGTGGGGAGCAACGGGCTGGTGATGTCATAAGTGGATGTTTGTCGTATTTGTCATGTTTGCTCTGTTTGTGTTTGTTGAGTTTGTCCGTTTGCAAGGTTTGCTTAGTTTGCATAGTGTTGCCCTGGAAATCAGGCGACAAACTCAACCACATGGTGGCCCAGAGTCACATCATTGGTTTCGGCTTGGAGATGTTACGAGTCTATATTTAGTTGGGACAAAGCGTGTTCCAAACAATGTTTCTTGGTCTCAGGTAGTACAATATAATTGCGCTCAAAGAAACAATAATCCCTTTCATCAGTATAGGCGGTTGTCCTTTAGAAGCCATCCCGGAAACTGCTTGATGGGCAAGTATATAAACCCCGAAAGAATCATCTCAAAAGTATTCATCAGCTTGAGAGCATCAGAAGACATTCCCATTTCAAAATGGCCAATCTTTTTCGACGTTTGCGTAAGCGCTTCCAGTCCCGACGTTCCCGACGTTCCCAACTTGCCGAACTAGAACAAGAATTGTGTCGAGCCTTCGATGCAGTATACGATCTGCAGTTGCGGCTCATAGAGTTCGATTTCATGCTAGCACACACCACCTCAAGTAACCCCACTCTCGCTGTTCCCCCTCTTCAGTCTGATTCCCAGTCTCTGTCTGACATTCCTAGAACAATTTCGCCCACAGGAATAACGCCAACGTCTATGGATGATATCTGGCTCTGCTCATACAGTGGCTCATTACTGGTAGATGCAGAAGAGCGGTGGCGGCATGATGACCCAGAGCTTGCAATGGAGCTTGCCTCGCAGGTCATCAGAGATAACCCTTTCTTATGCGAACTTGATGAGATGCGATGTCGACTTTTCATTGCTGCTGTCCAACACCATCTTTGCCAATTCAAAGAATCCATGATGAGCCTAGAGATGGTTGTGCAAATTAACAGTTGTTATGCCGTCTTGAACAACCCAGAATCTCGAATTATCGCCGGCATTACTCATTTTATCAAAGGAATGAACCTCATGAAACTTCATAGATTCCCGGATGCTTACCTTTCGCTTTCGCGGGCACAAGTAATACCAGGCTATATCGAAAAGGCCCGTGAGGTTCAAAGGGAGGCTGTCATTGGGTTTACTCGAATAGAGGCTGCTGAGTTTGATCACTCACCGGCAGCGTCTACCCACGCATTATTAGATTGGGAGGATGGACGTTGAAAATACAGCCGACTTTAAAAACACTGTTTATTGGCCTGATGTGGCTACTTTGGTATTTCCTCCAGTTCATTCATTGATACATGACTCTTGCAATAAGCAGTTCGGCCAGTGTCCAGATATAGATTGTGAATCGGGTTGAAAAGTGGGCTACTTGAGGGGTGTGTGAGAGCGGCTTGGTATGGTACTCGGGCGCTTTGCACCGTCACCCATTCTTTAACTTTAGTAGATTGGCCCTTCGAGATGAACCTGGGTTGATTATCCTTGAATAGATGGCAAAAAAATGATCATTTCTTATAGGAATATCTTGTTGTGATGTCTTCAAGCTGATGAATATTGCTTGAGAAAGAAATCCAATAAACCAAATCTCCACAGTTTGTATTTCCGTTTCGAGTAAATTGTAGTAGGTTAAATTTGTCTAGATTATTTGCCAACCCCATTAGAGTAACTGTCATAGTTGTATCCAGTATGTATATGTTGACTGAACCAGTACAGCACCTCTAGTATAGGGTGGAGAATACTTAGTGCTACATAAACATCCATAGAAATCATATTTATTTCTTGCTTGACTTGTATGTTGTACAGATCAAGCCAAAATATACACAAAGTGAAGGGTATAATAGAATGTGGCGTCTTGGTTTCAGCGCGGTTAACAATGGGATTGAGAGAAACAAAGGAAAGGACACCAAAGTCTCCTTGTAAACAAATATCTTTGTCTGTAACTGTCTAGGTCGGACCATTTTCAACGTGTTTGTTTTCTTTCTTTCTTTTCAACACGCCTGTGAGGTACATAAGGCCACTGTTTCTCTTCTCGGTTGCTATTTTCCTTCACCAACGAACTACCAATATTTTTTTTATCGTATCTCTTATATCTGACGCGAATTTTTGGATCTTCGCAGACAAACGGCAATCTCATTACATTTACTTCACAATTTACCAAGATCAATCCAGGACCCTGTTGGGGCAAGATAGTACTTCGACCATGTCCCACAACATACCCCACACGAGAAATGATGGGAGCTCCCGGCAGACCACACCACTCGTTTCTCGGGGAGAGCAAGACCTCACACTGGAAGCCCGCGCTATACGAGAAGAAACAAACAGGCTCAGGGTTCTTGCAAAAAAAATCAACAGCAATTCCAGCAATCTGACTAACAACGATTTGTTACATATGTACTACCGGGTCGAGGTCGGCTCTTATCTCTTGCCAGCTTCGAACTTCATCATCCATGAAGACCCCTCTGAGGCCGAGGTGATGGTCAAGCTCGCCAGGCAATCCGCAAACAAATCCGAAAATTCGCTCCTCATTGCCAGGTGTGAGTTCTGGATGGGTCGGGTCGAGTTTCTGCGCGGAAACATGCGCAAAGCTCATGAGCACTTCGTGAAAGCGAACCCTTGTGCCATGGATCCGAAGGAGGGCGTCGAATGCCAGGACCTGAGCTTCTTCCTGGATGTCACCAGGCATGGAATTGATGAGCAGACTCGGGCTGAGAGACAACGTGCTCATGATGAGGCTATAGCGGCACACGTGAAATTCGACAAGACTGCGAACAACTCTGTCTCGACCGAAGACAAACGCAAACGACCGTTGAGAACTTGGAAGGGGGCTCTCGTCAAACTACAGCTACCTTTGGTTAGGCAACGTCCACTTGGCAAAATCAGGAAGCCCTGGTGTAACATGCCGATTCACCGGAAGGTGGACAAGGAGCTTCTGCAGCAAGTGTTGGATAACGAGAAATCTTCTCAAGATCAGGTCCTTGGAATGGTCCTTGCAGAAGAGCTTGGGTACGAGTCTTGGGGCGATTCTTCGGATGACACCGATACCGACACCGAGGATGAATCCGACGACGATTCTAGCAGAGGCTCTAGAGACGTTACAGATGACACCACGGGTGACAATACAGATGAACACGCAGCAAACTCTCCGGATGCCCCAGCTGAAACCCAGCCATCAGAGCTCCCGATCCCGGTCACAGCTCCCGCAGTCCCAACCAAGGTTCCCAGTGATCAAGCTGCGTACGAAATGCCTAAGCCGGGATCGGCTCGGGATCGGTTCAGACAAGAATGTTTCCAAATGGGCCTCACGTCAGTAGTCAACGGAGAACCCTACAAGCGTCCAAAAGAACCATTTGTATTTGGAGTTCCCCACGAACCGACAAAGCAGACCCAGTTCCGACTCGGGTTTTTCAAGGTCGGCCTGGCAAAACGATGCCGCCCAATGACCATTTTTCCAAAGCAACATGGCGAAATCACCATTTCCCCCGAGGAATGGAAATCCATCGAAGAGGATGCTCGCAATAAGATTGTCACTTACGAGTACTTGTGCAGAGAAAGACGTGAGTTGGCCAAGGTCGCTGAAGAGATGGGGATTGTTTGAGAATCGCAGATTACAGAGCCAGGATATGTAACTACATGTGGATATGTATTTGTGTTGTCCAAGTTTTTTCTTCTTTTCTTTTTCGATTTAGGTGTCATGGTGTTGAATAAATTAGTTAAGCTTAACTAAGTATTGAAGAATTTGTACAATTAACTTCAAACTAACAAAAGAATATCCCTTGGAAGCCCTAAGCTGTCGGAGATGAGATAAATCAAATGAAGTGTCGGTCATAAAGCCAAAGACGGCTGTGACTTCCATTAATTGGCCCAAGTGGCCGAGCAGTTTCCTGGTCTAGCGGTTATGATTTTCCGTTAACAAATGCGATTAGCAAATGTTCCGGAAAGGTTCTGGGTTCGATTCCCAGGGAAACTATTTTTTGTCTTTTTGTCTTTTTGTCTTTTTTCAATTAAAACTCAGAGGCAAGCCACTCGCTCTCATTACTATTTTTTATCCTAGTGGTGAAAAGTGAAGAGGTCAGGTAGAGGTCATTATCATTGATTTCAATTGAAAGCTTTTCTATTCCAAAAATAGTTTGAATCTTCTGGTAAATCTTCTTGCCCGAGTGTTCTAAAAAGTGGTATTTCAAAAGAAGAATTAAGTAAAATATGTGCGTTCTCAAAAATATTCACGATTGGACCAAAAAGCCAATTGTCTAAACAAGGAAATGGGGAGCGTTGAGGACCAATCCCATCAAGCATCCGCCAAGGGTACCAGCGATGGGAATGGTCATGATCCATGCGAACAACAAAAGGAACACACGCTGCCAGTTGACGGCCTTGTAAGTTCCGTTGCACAGTCCAACACCGACGGTAGCGCCAGTGATGCACATAGAGGTGGAAACGGGCAGGGAGTACTGCGAGAAGACCAGCACCGTGATGGCAGCGCCCATCTCCATGGAGGAGCCACGGGACGGGGAGTGGTAGGTGATCTTGTTACCCATGACTAAGTGTAAAGTTAGTAAAAATGAAGATTGGAATGTGGAAGGAGGAAGAGATGCTTACCTTTCATGATGTTATATCCGTAAGTGCAAAGACCGATGGAAATGCAAATGGCCAGAACAGCAAGCTGCCAGATAGGCACGGGGGACTTGGACGCGGCAGGAGTGCCGCTGGACCAGGCAGAGTAGATGGCAGCCCAGGGGCCGACAGAGTTACCGATATCGTTGGCACCGTGAGCGAAGGAAGCAGTGCAAGCAGTGATGATCTGAATGAAGGAGAAAGTATGCTCGACCTCATTGGGGTATTTCTCGGCGTTGGCATAGACACGCTTCATGCGCTCACCCTCCGGAGTACCCTCGTTACCACTTTGGGCAGTGTGGATGTCGTAGTAGAAACCATAGAGAAGACCGACAGTGATGATGGCAGGGATGCGCTTGGCCATGCACTTCAGGTTGCGGAGTTCGTAAATCTCACCAGCGCCCATGGGGTTGTCGCGGAGAAGGCGCATGGCCCAGCCAATAGGACCACGGCTCTGGAGGAGCTTGGCCTTGTGACGCTCTTCGGAATGGGCCATGACTTCGCGGTAGGTGAGCTGATTGGCCTCGAGCTTTTCAATGGATCTCTCCTCCGAGGAGCCTGGGATGGAGGAAACACCGGTCTTGGGATCCTTCTCATCGATAGGCAGGTGAGATTCGTGCTCCTCGGGTTCCTCTTGCACCACGGCGTAGTTGGGAACCTCGGCAACTTCGGCACCATTAGGGACGGGACGGGTGAAGAGCAGAGGGCCCTGGATGACCATCCACCACTTCACACTGGGGTCCTTCTTGATCACGCGGGAGTGAATGAAAGGAACAAAGAAGAAAGCAGACAAAAGGCAGACACCACCACCAGTGCCCATAGTGACGGCGGCAACGTACCAGGCGGGCTTCTTGCTCAGACCCAGGCTGGGAGAGCCCTTGTAAACAATGGAGAGCGTGCAAATGGTGGCAGCAACCAAGAAGAAGAAAGGTGCACTCCACACGGCCCAGGGGATAGGGTTTCTCCGCACATGCACGACGTACTTGATCAGCATGAAGATAATAGCGCCAAAGCAACCGGAAATGACAGGAGCCATGCCGAGACCAGCGAAGATGGCACCGAGACCCTTGCCATCGTTCCAGCCCCACTGAACCTGGGAAGCGCCAACAGTTGCAACACCGACACCGGCGACAGCAGAGATAAGGGAGTAGGTGGAGGAGACGTGGGCGGAGTGCTTGGTACACCACATCACCCATGAGGATGCAGCGGCAAGAGCACATGTGAAAGCGAGCATTTGAACACCGGCATTGCCCTTGAAGGCCGAGTTGGGGATGATGCCGTTCTTGATAGTATCAGCGGTACGGGCACCGACAGCGACAGCTCCGACAAACTCGAAGATGGTACCGAGGACCATAGCCTGGCGGTAGGAGATGGACCGGGAGGAGACACTCGTGGCCCAAGAATTGGCAACATCGTCTATGAACGTCCAAAGGTTAGTTCGAGGTCAACCACCTAAGGATAGGCTGCTACTTACTTGCACCGTTGTTGAATGCATCAAGCATAGCAAACAACGTGCCGATGGCAAAGATGTAATCGTATTGATGGAGATACATCTTGATGAGTTGTATCAAGTCAAGCTTTCGATTCAAAGCTTAGTACTGGATGGACTTTTGATCTGAGAAACAAGAGAAACCAAGACCTGGGCGAAAAGGCTGCCCTTTATGTATGCATGGGAAGATAAGACATAATCGCTCTACTCTCTATGCAAGACAAGGCTTTGTGGCGAACGTCCTCTGCCCAGGAGAACTTCCCGATTGGGACACTCCGGCCACACGTGCTGCAATGGGAGCCCAGCAATCATCGTCTGTGGCCTTGGCAAAAAGTAAATGCAACGCGACCAAGCCAAGAAGAAGAAAGCTCGTTTTCCGCAAGCTTGTGGTCGGAAGCAAATTGGACAATGTCTTGGCAATATCTCGGCGGAAGTAGTTTTACATTGACATGCGACGAAAAGGAGCCAGATTAGGTGTAGATTGGTTTAGAACTCGGTGGAGACGGCCCCTGATTGGTTCCAGGACACGGCCATTGGACGGTTGCGGCTCTTGGCGGGGGTGGGGGCGCACGGTCCGCATCTACCTATGAGAGCACCGCAATCCCACACGTGGGTGTATAAGAGGTCCAATCCCCCGGAATGTGTCTGTCGCATGGCTCATGTTTGTTCTAGAAGACATCGGCTGCCGAGCTGACTATCATAGCCTTGCCCTACATCGGGAGCTCCGAGGCGAGCGCACGTGCCTTCGTACTTTGTAGGATGTGACTCTAATTGACGAAAAAGGAACCTTGGAGGATTGGAAAGTATTGGAACAGCTCCTAGTGCGGTTGGTTTCAGAGTTTTTGCCAGCCAAGACAGCCAAACTCATGTGCAACAGGTCAATTTGCCCCACGTGCAATGTACATCATGTAATATCTGCCACGAACTACAGAACTAAACCTTGGAAGTCGAGTGATATTAGTAATATACGATAACTCCAAGGTCATGCAGGGATTTCTCGCATGATAGGCTCCACTCATTAAAGGCGTTCGTATCTGTTCAATTCTCCGATATGGCCAATTTAGCCTAACTCGCATGACCATCAGGTTTGCCGAAAGAACGAATCAATTGCATTAATCTATCCCCGAGGAAGCTTTTCAGGTCTAAGCTATCTCATTTCTGTCTAGGCAGGGATAGTTCTCTTGGCAGTTGCTCTCTGACGCTCGTATGATGTGGTGTGCCTCAACCTGGTTCTCCAAATGGATACATCAGCTGGCCGACCTCAGCAATGCCTTTCGCCACGCTGTCTCACCGAGAGAAACACAGCCATGTGTTCAGACAGCATTCGCAAGTGACCCATACAAATCTTCTTGGCCTCAACAGAAGAAGTGGGCAGACCCAACAGCACCAGATCATCATAAAACGGGCGGAAACAATGCCAAGACATCGCTTCAAATGAATTCAGCCACATGGAAACAGTTTTTCTTTGGATTGACCATTAACTAGGTATGGAGTAAACACGGAGCAAAGGTACTCCACTATACTCGTCTACCGGGGTGGGACCTCTTAACGCCCATGCGAACCATATTCTCCATCCTTGACACCCCAAAGCGTCTCCTGACTCGGACTCGTCCCCCAGTCCACATCGATTGTCGTCTCATGAACATCATGTCCGTCAGATATAGGCTGCCTTGCCGATAGAGGAATCGACTCAAGGCCTATTGTCCCTATATTATCTGAGTCACTGTGATGCATCGTCGAACGATTTCTGCTCAAGACTCCGAACAATGCCCGCAACGCCGGGAGAGAAAGAGCGATGATAGCGGCACTGATTTCTGTGGCAGACCACACCATCACCACAGAGAAATACCAAGTTGCGTCATCCGGGTGTTGGAGGGCGACGATCATGGACACCATCCGGAGAATAGACGTTCTATAATCGGTGAGTTAATAGACCGTGACTGGGAAGGCGGCGAAGACTTACACAACAGCACTAAAGAGACAGATATTAGCTACTTCCCTTTCTCACTGTTGACGAAGACAAGGACAAGAGAACTTACAAAACTCCCACGCAAAGTACAAGTGCTAGGACTAGCTTTCTTGCTAGCTTTGCCTTCAACGAGAAGACAATATTCATTGGCAATAGCAGCACAAGCGAGTCACAGACGATAGTGAGTACAGAAGTCGAAATGAAAACAATCTCTGAGCCCATGCATTCACCCTCTGCGCCGCCCCACAGAACAGCGAGAGGAACACACTGCAAAGTTACGATGAGTGTCTGCGCCACATACACGACTGTCACAAAAGCGAAGGAAATACGCAGATAGAGGGTGAATCGCGGCATTTGATTGAGACGAGCATAAAAAGCGATGCCGGAGATGCGACACAGCCACATGTTGAACATATACACGAGCTGAGCTCCGACAAGCCACTTATACATATGCACCAGGGTTTCTGGGTCGTTCATCAATGCTGCGAGATGCTGGCCAGAGCCATAGTGGATGACCATTAATGAAAGCCCCAGGACTATCCAGCTGACTAACTAGATAGATAGATATCAAAATCCTGCAACAGGTCGCGAGTGATCGGATCAAATTTACCTGTCCGACTACAATCGTGAGATCATCCCATCCCAGCTCATGGATCAGATACCCCCGAGCATACAGGCGAATTAGAACGACAAGTAATGAGAGGGTTGTCACAACGACCATGCCGATAATCGCCGGCTGGCGGCGATCCTCCGCCAGAAAGGACGCTGGGTATTCAGAAGAGGACATCGTGCCCAAGAGAATATTTGAAGAATTGATCTCATCCTAAAATACGAAACCGAGGATGAACAGATTCATCAAGGCAGACTTTGGCCCCCAATTCAACTACCCTGTAACCAACTTGTCTAAGGTTTCTCGCCAAACAAGGAAGGATTCCACTCTCATCTCCGGCCCGCGACCCCCGCGGCACAATATTTAATCAGCAAATCAGACCATCGTGAGATAGTAGGACTATCCCCGATATGTGCTAGCAGCCTTCCTCCGAGTCCACCTCAACGCCGCTAGCAAGTCCGGCCCCACAAGAACTAGGCACGGCCAACGCCAAAACATTATACTTTCACTATTCCAGCTTAGTTGATACTAGACGGCAGAGAATACTGGATTGTGTTCTCAGGGGAAGATATGAGCAAAGGACTTTTGTTATGACCGACCCATGTCAAAAGCACGTTTAATTAAAATGATTCCCAACAATCTCCCCGGAAATAAAACTTCATCCCCTACGTGTGTTGGACCGTGTATGTCAGATACTGTCAATTGAAATGGTTTCTTTACTTGTGTCTGGGGTAACGGCCTTGATCACCTTGTCCAAGCTGTGGGTTTTAGCAGTCATTTTGTTTACTGTGCGAGCGATCATTCGCAAATATTGGACCCCGATCAGAGATATACCAGGCCCATTTTTGGCTTCTTTTTCGACACTATGGCAGGTTTATCATTTGTGGAAGGGCCATATCGAAGATGAGCTTATTGACCTTCACAAAAAGAATGGTAGGCTGGTCTGTCATGATTCTATTTCATATTTTAACAAGAGCGACAGGGTATTTTGTTCGCATTGCAGAGAATGAAGTCAGTGTCTCTCACCCAGACGCAGTAAAGCAGCTTCTCCATGCAAATATAGCCAAAGTATGTATTTCTCTTGACAATCGCAAAAGCAAAAGTACTCAATATTAACAACCATGCACAAAAGGGCTCGTGGTACTCAATTTTCAGTCTTCCAGACTACCATTACGTGAACCAGATGTCTGAATTGAATCCAAAGCGGCATATTGAAAAGTCGCGCAACATAGCCGCCGGCTTTGCACTATCAAACATTATCAAGTCCGAGCCACACGTGGACGCAATCCTCCACCGCTTCGAAAAGCACCTCGACAGATTAAGCAAAAGCAACGAGGTAGTAGAATTTGACAAATGGTTCAGCTTCTTTGCCTTTGACGCGCTGGGCGAAGTAACCTTCTCGAAATCCTTTGGATTCGTGGAAACAGGCACAGATATCAGAGATGCGGTCGCAAACACCAAAGCCCTGGCAGTCTACATCGCGGTCATGGGCCACTATATCTGGCTACACAACCTGACACTGGGAAACCCGCTTCTGAGCCGCATTGGAATCCAGCCTTCATCGCATATCTTCGACACTTGTCTCGCTGCTATCGATGCGCGCAAGAATAACCCCGCAACAAGGAATGATATGATGCAGCGCTGGCTGGACGTTCGGGCCAAATATCCTGATCGCATGGCTGAGAATGAGATCTTTGCCGCGGCTGTTGCGAATATCGGGGCTGGGGCCGATACTGTTAGTGCCACAGCCCAGGCGTTTATTTATTACCTACTCCGTCATCCAGAATATTTGCAGCGCTTACGCGATGAGATTGATGCTGCTCAGAATCGAGGTGAACTCTCGCCTATCGTGCAGTATAATGAAGCGCAGAGGTTGCCATTTCTTCAGGCTTGTGTAAGTAGCCACTTGCAAGCAGACGACTTTAATTATCTTCGCTTATATCTCTGAATAGCTGAAAGAGACGTACCGTTTCCACTCTGCTGCCGTTGGTGGACTTCCCCGAGTCGTGCCACAAGGTGGGATGACTATTGCTGGCAGATATTTTCCCCAAGGAGTAAGGATAACTTCACGGGCTCTACTTTACCTACACTGATCGATATTTGATTGAATACTGACTTCTATCTATAGGTGGTTCTCAGTATCAACACGTGGGTCTTTCATCGCAACCCCCAGATTTTCGGCGAGGATTGCAACAGCTTCAACCCAGACCGCTGGCTCCAAGCAGAGACGACTTATATCGACTCATTTTTAATTCACGTAGGCAATTGATAACGCCAACACTCATTTACGAAATGAACTAACATATCTATTATAGTGGGGAGCTGGGTACAACCAATGCCCCGGCCGTAATCTTGCCCAATTTGAGCTACTCAAACTAATGGCAACTCTAATAAGGGACTACGATATTGAGCAAGTGGATCCTAGAAAGGAATGGGTATTCAAGAGTCAGTTTACGGCTATTCCGTCTGGATGGCCATGCAAGATTCAAAGACGCTCGCGTGAATGATCAAGAAAGAAAGAAAGAAAGAAAGAAAGAAAGAAAGAAAGAAAGAAAGAAAGAAAGAAAGAAAGAAAGAAAGAAAGAAAGAAAGAGAGGAAATCACCGACGTCGCAAGGTGTCCCATAGCATCCCCATGCCTGCCATTGGTTTTTCAACAACCACGGTAGGAATAACCTGCAGAAGGAATCCGACGGGAATAGATATTGCGCCGAGAATAATAGAATATGCCCATTGATCGCCAGTCAACTTTGTAATTGAGAATGCCCGCCCGCCGACGAACATAATTAGGATCTGAGCGCCCATCATGATGCAGGTGATTGCTATAAAGAGCCAGTTATGATGGATACCTTCGATGAGGTTAAATGATCGCTCAATTTGTCGATTGCTGTATTGGGGTTAGTAACGCAAAAATATTGAAGGTAGCATCGACATACTTGTACATGTTGAATATCTGCATCCAGACATAGGTGTTGAAAACAGCAGTCTGTAACTGTGATGTTTGAAAAGCACCGTGATAGGAGAAGATAGAAGAACCCGCAAAGTACAGAACGAGTGTTACTACCATCTGATACACGGATTGGCCAATGATCATCTTCCACATGGTAGGAGTAATTAACGGTGTAGATATTGGTTCGGGTTTGCGGTCAAGGATCCGGCGAGGAGGAGGATCGGTTGCCAGGGCCAGAGCTGCTAGAGTGTCTTGAAAAAGGTTTACCCACATGAGCTGCACTGGCGTCAGAACCGACTCCTGCGATGAGTTGGCTACTGCCGAGACAAATGCTAGGCCCACGGAGGTGAATGTAATGGTAATTTGGAACTAGAAAATGGATATTAGATCGATGGCCATCCATACTCCTTGTTGATAGAGTAGCTTACCTGCAAAAATTTCTTGACCGCATCGCTGACTGCTCTTCCCCACATGATAGCCTTGACAATCGAAGAAAATGTATCATCCATCAGGACAATAGAAGAAGCCCCACGAGCAATTTCAGTGCCAGATATTCCCATCGAGAATCCGATATCAGCAGCTGCAAGTGCAGGGGCATCATTGGTACCGTCTCCAGTGACAGCAACGACTCTCCCGAGATCCTTCAGGCGTTGGACTAGAACCCGCTTATCGTCTGGACGAGACCGAGCAAGAACCTTGAGCCGTGGAACTAGCTCCTTCTGCTGTGATTCATCTAGCGCACGGAACTTATCGCCTTCCATCACAAGATCATCTGGACTATTGATGATTCCACATTCTTCTGCGATGGCCCTTGCTGTTAGAAGGTTGTCACCGGTAACCATGCGCACAGTGAGACCTGCTTTGTGACTAGTGTCTACAGCACTCCAAGCATCGGCTCGGAGAGGGTCTCGTAGACCCATAATTCCTAGGAATGTAAAATCTTTCATCAGATCCTCGAAGCTCACAGTTTCTTCCTCGCCTCTGGAAGGCAACTCCTCCACATCACGGAAACAAATCGCAATTGTGCGCAAAGATCGTGACGCATACTGAGCAATTGTCTGGCGTATTTGTTCAATACTATACTCCGTGATTGGAGCAGTACTAAGCCCTTGCATTGGCTGTGAAATCGTGGCCACACATTTCTCAATGAGAATCTCAGGAGCACCTTTCAAATATGATCGATATAACCCGTTGGCCAGTTTCACAACTGTGATCATGTATTTGCGAGAAGCATCAAAAGGTAAAATATCCACAACCTCCTCACTCGCACGATCAAATTCAAGCTGACCTAGCTCAAGATAGTCCTGGGAGAATCTCAATAAGGCGGCCTCTGTTTGGGAGCCAAGAAACTGCCGACCTCCGCCATATCGGCTTTCAATTGCAGTCGAGTTGATCGCGATAGATTGCCTCAAAAGCGACCTCGATTGACTCGAGAGATGGTTCATGCACTTTGCCACAGACAAGGAACTTTCTTCATCTAATATGTCTGGACTGCTAACTCGATCAGTAAACTGCGAGGTAACACCGAAGAAACCCGAGACAACAGTCATTTGATTCTGTGTTAACGTTCCCGTCTTATCTGAACATATATCCGTGGCTTGTCCCATCGTTTCGCATGCTCGGAGCTGTCGAACCAAGTTGTGATCTCTCATCATTCGAGTAGTGGCAAATGACAAGGCGAGTGTAACTGCCAAGGGAAGTCCTTCGGGGACTGCGATCACAACGACGGTCAAGGCCAGAATGAAGACATTCAAAAACGATTGTCCCTTTTCCGAGGCAGATTCGGTGCTATTACGGAGGCCGACACAGAACTTGATGAACAAGATTATAAACAGCACAAGCGCCGCAAGTGCACCAAAGTTGGCAATATTCTTTGCAAGATTGCTGAGCCGTACTTGAAGCGGGGTGAAACCTGGGTCGGTATCGAGAGAGAGGAGGATTCTTCCGTAGCTTGATTTTGTGCCTGTAGCCAAGACGAGGTACGCACCAACGCCTTCCACGATCTTGGTATGAGAGAGGATGAATGGGTCGATCTCATGAGAGCCACCACGACGGGTTGTATCTATGGGGGTCTTATCAACCGGATCAGACTCTCCAGTTGCCGAGGACTCATCGCATTTGACCTGATGACCTCGTATTAATACCCCATCAGCAGGTACGATATCCCCAGGACTGATGTGAACAATATCACCAACAACAATATCGGAGATGGGAACCTCATGAATCCTTGCAGATCGAAGAACCCAAACATTGCGATCTTGCTGTTTTCTATTGAGCTTCCGGAACTTGCACTCTTTTTGATAGTCGTTCGCGGCACCGGCGAGAGTAATGACGACGATAGCGACAAGGATGGCAACCCCCTCCACCCATTCAACGGGCGGGTTGTCGGGGGTATGCTTGGTTCCGAATGTCTGATACAGCCCCAAAGCAAGCGAGATAATAGCAGCCCCGGTTAGGAGGAATAGGACGTGATCGTTGTAGGCTGCCCACATCAATGACAGAAAGCTCGGGGATGGTTTTATGGGTAGGCGATTGTCGCCGAAGAATTTCCTTCTGTCGACGAATGCGTCGCGATCAAGATTTATCGAGATAGGAAGCTCAGAGATAGCGGTCTTTTCTGTCGGCGCAGTGCTTGTAGTACTCGCAGCGATGTTCGCGGGAGCACCTAGGTAGGTCTCGTCCAGGCTCAGACCGGAGTGGACGTCGGTTCGCAGTCCTTCCTCCAAGCCTGTTACGCCACCGAGAGCATGGAACTCTTGGACATCTTTGGATAACACAAGATTGCCTAATGTGTCAGGATCTAGGGGAAAAGTCGAGAACGATTGAGTGAATTGTTCCGTGGCACGTTTTGATCGCGGGTTCTGGGTATCGTCAGTAAGGCACATTCTCAGGCTCATCGTTGAACTTACTATTCGCGACCAAAAAAGAGACATATAAGGCCTCCTGGCTCCCGAAATTGGCGTCATGTCACGGATAATGTCATGAGAGGATTAGATGAGGTGCACCTGTCTGGAGAAATACAAATACGTAAAAAGGGATTGTAAAATACAGTTGGCGTATCATGCATACATGCATACCAAGAGACAAGATATCAGTATCATAACATGATATCCACCTATTTCTGCAAGAGATATGTATCGGAGCTGGTACAGCGACATCTAGAAGACACGTTACCTACCTTTGATGTTATTCTGTACGTTATAGGTCATCAATATGAAGTCTTCCTTTTTAGTTCTTCTGACTCAACTAGTCATGCCTATGTTAGACAAGCGCTCTGTACTTGTTAGCCATACAATTAACCAAAGTCCACCCCAGAGCAGGCAAGTGAATCTCTTACAGGGCTGTGTTGCTTATTGTACTCCCCCAAAGCAAGCCCCAGAGATCACACAAGAAGATTGTTGACAGTCTCAAGTCTTGGCAAGGAGGCTGTGCAATACAAAAGACTATGTAAATGCCCGAGGCTGGCTGACTGGCAGACCCGATCGACTTAACTGGTTCAAAGAAGTGCATCGGCACCAACAAGACTTGACAATTGGTCACTGAGCCCAGAAAAAATGATTAAAAATCGCCAAACCTGGCTGACACTAGCTAGATACCGACTAATGGCGCTGGGGACAGTCGACACCTCTCCACAATCCAAGCCTAAAAGAGAGTCTAATTCAACGTACGCTGTGAATTCTGATCCGCCGCCTCTACCCACGCTACTCTCCTCAAATCCTCTAGCGCTGCCACGGTATCTGGGTGGTCCGTTCCCAATGCTCTTTCCCTGCGAGAATATACAGTTTCGGCCATTCCACTGGCGACGTCCCACTTGCTTTGCGACTGGTATATGAAGCCCAGATTGGCCATCGCGCTGAGTGTGTACGGGTGGTCTTTGCCTATCGTCTCTTTCATCAAACGCAATGACCGGGCGGCCAGGATCTCGGCATCTGGTGATTGCCTCATCATTTGGAATGTCACTGCAAGATCCGCCATAGCAACCAGTGTGTGTGGATGACGTTCCCCGAGGACCTCTTTCATTACAGTTATTGCTTTCTCCCCGAGGTCTTTGGCTTCTTCAAGTCGACCTTGATTGCGATATGTTGAGGCAAGGTTGCTAATGGACATCAGGGTCTGCGGGTGCGTTTCGCCGAGCACGGTCTCGCTGCTAGTCACGACTTCTTTTTCCAGACGCTCAGCATCCGACCATCGGCCTTGTTCGCGGTATGTGGATGCAAGGTTGGCCATAGAGGTCAAGGTAAAGTGATCATTCGTCCCAAATATGTCCCGACTAACAGCGACAACCTCCAATTCAAGCTTTTCAGCGGAGTCTAACCTCCCCTGGTCTCGGTAGGTCGATGCCAGGGTAAGTTTCCATTTTAACAACGAGGCATCGGTTGGAGATAATTCACTTTCTCCGAGATCGACCAATTGGCGTGCAATTGTCTCGGCCTCTTCATACCGACCGAGATAGGCATACGATATTGCCAGGTTAGACATTGAGCCTAAAGTGGATGAATGTTTGAGACCGATAGTCTTCTTCTTCATCTCAAAAACTCTCAAATCAAGTTCTTGAGCATCGGCCCAGAGGCCTTGGCTCCGATAGGTGGAAGCTAGATTCGTCATGGAAGTCAACGTCTGGGGATGCTCCTCGCCAAGAATCTTCTGTCTCAACTTGGTCACCCGGGCAGCGAGAGCAGCAGCCTGATCCAGCTGGCCTCGGCCCCAATACGCCGAAGCAAGATTATGCATCGCTGTCATAGTCATTAAGTCTTGCTCTCCCTTAAGTCTCTCGCATGAGTCCAGCACCAGAATACCTAGATCTTCGGCAACAATCCATGAATTGGCCTGCAGCAATGTTTTGACACATGCGGCTAGCTCTTCGAGCATTATTTTCATCCCTTCAGAATCCGCACGTGTCGCGAGTATCCGTTTCCCCGCTGTGGTCATTGCTGACTCTAGTTCTGTTGCTTCGGTCGTCCAGCCTCGGCCATGATATATGGCTGTGAGTTCACTGACCTCCCTCTGGAGCGACTCGAGGGAGGGAGGATGATTATCCATAGATCACGGACAGCAAGGATTATCCAGCCTGGCCCCGGTTGTTGTTTTGTTGTTTTGGTGTGAATGATCCGATAGGCTGGCTCTTAATCATTTACTCGTGTCGGAGGTTGGGTTGTCACTAGATGGGTTGAGCGTGACGACTCTTTGAGAGGAAGATAAGAATTGTGAGCTGCGAACGCATTGCCAAGGTGTGGGGGGCCCCGAATGTTCCGATTAATTACAATACACAGCAGAGAGGGGTCAACGAAGACTTGTGTTCCTCTTCCCTGTAATTAAACGTCATTGCACATGATCTTTCGAGTATTTATAGCCTAACACGTCAGAACATCCCATAAGGCTGAGACGAAGATCAAATAAATGCTGTTGCCTGGATACTGTAAGTTGTATACACTGATACAGAGCTATTGAAAAGTATCCAGCGGCTAAATGCCGGCTCAGCCCTATCGCCCACTTCCTGGTGGAGACCGTTCCGTTTGGCGCTAGTAATAGGGCTGTAACTTTGATAAGGCTAAAAGTTACTAGTACCCGTACTCGTACCGTGGTAACGTTCGGAACACAACCTTGGAAATATCCAGTTCATGTGATTTCCCAGTCCGCGGGTCGCATCTCACTTAAGCTTCAACAATCCAAGAGATCCAAGATTTACCATGGTATCTCGCCGAGACACTCAGCCAGAGCCTAGCCACCATCGCCAGGACCCTTGGATTCACATCCAGAGGTTCTTCAAGATGCCATCGCAAATTGGACTGAAAGAACTGAGTATCAATCATGGACGGCCAGCAATGGTGCTGCTACCTCTGGCTGGGCTTGCAAAGATATTTCACTGGAACCCGATCATAGTTCTCACGGTGAATATCCTCGCCATTATCTTCTTGTCCGAGGCGATATCCATCTCATCAGATGAACTCACTGCGCATCTTGGAGAGCTGCAAGGTGCACTACTCAGTGCCACACTCGGAAATACAGTAGAGCTCACGGTGAGTAACAAATATTACCCCGAATATCGAAATGACATAATGCTCACTCAGCCTAGGCGGGAATTCTAGCTCTGATTCATGGCGAGATCCCATTTTCACAGTCTGTGATGGTTGGTAGTATTCTCTCGGATATTCTGCTTGTAAGTCCTCACATTATGAAAGTTCTAGTGGTGGTCATATTATCCGGACTGACAGTAAAATCTAGGTATTCGGTTGCTGCCTCGTCACAGCCTCGTACAACAAGGAGGTCTTGGAGTTTAACAGCGCTCTTGCAAAGACGTTGTCTTCTTTGATGATGATCACAGCCGTCACGATGCTTCTTCCAACGGCTCTGTACTCGACTTTCCCAGTATCTGAAATTGATGACAGAGTACTATCCTTCTCACGAGGAACATCATTGGTACTCCTCGCACTCTACGGAGGTTACCTTTACTTCTACCTGGGTACTCACAAACATCTCTTCCTTTCGAATGAGAGCGAAGCTAGTGACGATGAAAACAACGGAGATTCATCATCCGCAGCCAACAAAGCCAGCTTAGCTTCATCAATCATCCGATTGACAACTGCCGTGGCCGCAACAGTCTTTTGCACAGAACTCCTGCTTGAAAGTGTTGATGACATGGCGCAAACGCTCGGAGTCTCTGAAGTATTTATCGCAATTGTCTTTATTCCAATCGCTAGCAATAGCACCGAGGGGGTTACTGTCATTGCGGCATCTTGCACAGGGGATACAGATTCTGCAATCCGCGTTATCATCGACAGTCTCTTGCAGATTGGTCTATTTGTCATACCATTCTTGGTGGTTGTTGGCTGGTGCATTGCTGAGCCGATGACGCTTTTCTTCGACTCATTTCAGACCGTGACCATGTTTTTGGCCATTCTGGTGGTTAATCATCTACTTCGTGATGGACAGTACGCTTACATCCATGGTGCGATGCTGATTGCTCTGTAAGTTTCCCTGGGCTCCTTACTGATTTTCAAAAGTACTTTTATTGATGTACGATTATAGCTATTCAAGTTTGGTTGTGGCGTTCTATGCACACTAGATGGCTCAAGGGATTTGCCGCCTCCAGCAGCCACTTCAAGTAAGGAATCATGTGTGATATATCAGGCTAACCACCTAGGTAAATCACATTCGCCGGCACCTCAGGCCTAACAAAGAACGCGAACGTGATAATCATGTATCTATTAAGAGAAAACAAAGTTAATACCGAGGAACAAAAGTCCGTTAAAGTAGTGCGAGCGACTCACGTTCCAATCAACATCAACCCCTCGAAGTAATTACTCCGCCCATCAGAAATAAGATAGGTCATCACCACAACACTAAGCAAAAGCATCGTAGCCTCAAACCCACCAAATCTCAGAATAAGCGGCTGGTCAAAAGCCCAACCAACGAGAACCAGTAGCGGAGCAATAAGCATCGTAACCCGCAACACATTGTTAACAACCGCCCTGATCCCAAGCTCGATCTGATTGTAAGTCCGGGACCCCATCACAATGCGGCGGTACTTAACCGAGTTTCCGAGCAGTGGAACAACTGTCACGGCAAGGAAAGACTGATTCATACCCGTAATTGAAGCAACCCCACTCAAACAGCTCACTATGTAATATGTGCACGCAAGCGCGGACGTGGACGCAGCTGCTATGATTATAGCTGCTGAAGCCTTGCCAATATACGGCTGTGGAATCTGGGCCTCGATTATCTGAGACTGGCCGCCGTGGGCTTGAGCTCGCTGGCTGAATGGGGTGCTGGCGAACATGGCCGCATGAGTGCCGAGGCGGAAAATGAGGAATGTGAGAAGCAGGATGACGAGGATAATGGCCGTTATGCGTTGCGTTAAGAGGATTTGGTCTGCAGGGGTGGCTTTGGCAGATGGGAAGACCTCCATTATGGTTGGGAGGGTGAGGAGGATGAAGACGACCATCATGAGGGATGAGAGGATTGTTGTGAGGGTACGATCAAATCGGAGTCGTTTTTGGTCGTATCCTGAGACGAAAATGGTGCCACCGAGGACCTGTAGATATAGATTGTATTAGGGGGAGGTTCATGGCACCAGCTGTTGGGTTTGATACTGGGATTTATTACCAGTAGTAAATTGCTCAGGACACTTCCAAGTATCACAGATTGGGAGATGTGTGGTTTTTTTTGCGCGATCGCATTAATTCCGATCTGGATCAATCGTCGTCAGCATATGTTTGAATTGAAGCTTGAGTCCCCCAGGGCTGGATATCACCATCAATTCCACCGAATTTCCCAGTGTTGATTTCAGCAGTTCATTGACAACTCGGCTGCCACCTACAGTCAACGAATCGACTGATCGGTTAACCCATAATCCAAGTGGAATCACAGCGACGATGTTGAGGGTGAAGATAGCAGCACTGTTCCAATTGAGGGCTCCTGCTATGATACCGATGAGAGGTATCAAAAGTGATAAGAGGCGCAGGTGGTGCTGGACTTGTGCCATGATAAAATTGCAATATAGCATAGGTGAAGCTCGATTGGGAGACATGATTCATCGAGGGAAAAGATGAAGCTGAGAGAATTTACCCGTCTAGAGAAAGCCCACACATGTCAACAAATGAGGCTCAGTGTATCACAGTAATATTTCCATACCGATACAGCCGGAGACGTAATCTAAACGTAATTAACTGAAACATACATGTATTTTATCTGTAAGGTTACACTAACCCGTACGCAGATGTCTATGGCTGAGAGACAGTGGAGCAATACACCATCCCTTTTATTCTCCACGATGTTTCTTGGTCTTTTCCTCACTCCTGCCAATATGAACAACACAGCTCACCCCAGACTGCGAAAGTCAACCAAGATTGACCCTGAAATCATGGCCGGACCGCTTGAAGCCAACGCGACAGCCCATGAGCAAGATGCATTACTTAGAGACGAGACTGAATGCGAAAGCAACGGGGAGGAATCTGCAGAGTTGCGTGACACAAACCACCCCGTCTCGAAGTGCGCTCTTTTCCTAGGCAACTCTCTTTTCCGTGTGCTTAAAGCTACCCTGGGATGCAGCTACACCAATTTGCTACTTCCATTCGTGTTTCTGGGAATCATTGCGGGGGGCCAAGGATGGGGTGATTCGATTTCTTTCGTGTCCAACTTCCTGGCGATTCTTCCTCTCGCTGCGTTGCTGTCATTCGCCACAGAGGAACTGGCAAAAAGCGTCGGGCAAACCGTTGGAGGGCTGATCAATGCGACATTTGGAAATGCAGTTGAAATGATTGTAAGTGGTTGGATTGTTTCGACGTTTTGTTCTCTGTTAAGGTGGGAAACTGACGTTGATCGCTACACAGGTGGGAATCACTGCGGTCCGACAGGGAGAAATCAGCATCGTGCAGTCTAGCATGGTGGGAAGTATCCTGTCAGGAAATTTACTGGTAGGTCTGGGTCTTGCTGCATATTCCCTACCTGGTGATCTTGTCTGCTTACACGAAATCTAGATCCTAGGTGTTTCATTTTTCTGCGGCGGCTATGCAAAAGATGTGGTGAGGTTCAATGTGGATGTTAGTGGGATACTATCATCCTTGATGGTGGTGTCATCTGCAACATTGATCATTCCTTCCGTGCTCTATTCAACCATACCATCCAAGTCCCACGAAGTGGAAGTCAGCGTCCTGAGTCTTTCCCGTGCCGCCTCCGTGGTCCTACTCACATTCTACCTGGTCTATCTCTACTTTCAATTGAAGAGTCACGCTGAACTATTCGTCGACGATCAAAAAGAAGAGGAAGAAGAACGAGTTCTGGGCCCCTGGTCGGCAAGCATCATTTTGATCCTTGCAACTCTCGGGGTTACCGTCTGCTCCGATCGTCTGGTGGACAGCGTCGATGGCTTCGTAGACAAGTGGCATGTGAGCCGGGCTTTTATTGGCCTGATCGTGGTTCCCATTGTCGGTAACGCGGGTGAATTCAATACTGTCGTCAATTCTTCGATCAAGGGGAATATGGATCTCGCAATTGGTGTGATTGTGGGAAGCACATTACAGATTGCATTGTTTGTGAGTCCGTTCCTGGTCATATGTGGCCTGGTTATTGGGCAGCCCATGTCTTTGCGCTACAGTCCCTTCGAAACTGTGGTATTCTTTCTATCGGTGATAGTCATGGACTGCTTGATTCGCGGAGGTCGATCCAATTACTACGAAGGGTCTCTATTAGTTGGAACGTGAGTGCCCCCCATGAGTGTTCTGGCTACCCTCGGTGCTAATGATTTAGGTATTTGATAATCGCAATTGCATTCTACGTGCACCCAGACGCAGTCGATGCCCCCTTCGTCTAGAATGCAGGGTCACGAATTAATTATTCCCAGTTGTATACATTACATTCGGACAAAATATAAATCTAGGTTTCTGCTGCTCAAAAACCGTACAATATGTAGAAGCAGTTCTATATTTAGAGTGACAGGACAGGCAAGAATCGCCGTCGATAGTGGAGTTGCCTCGTAGGGCTGAGACTTGGCACTGTGACTGTGAATGGACTAATTTCAATTGAATCCTTTTGATCAATTCTATTAACTTGGCTTGTTATATATTCTGACGGAGAAGGTTATAAGTCTGCCTCTTAAGTCCTTAGTCTAAAGAATTCTATCTCTAAACAGCGGACCTAACTCGAGCATCACGTAGATATCCATAGCAATGTAATTAATTTGTGACCGGATAATCGGCCGAGAGAAAAGGACCAGGCAGCAGAGTTCCGCTTAATCTCCTGTTTTCCTTGCTCGAATTATTGGTTTATTGTCTGTATTGTCTGTATACAAGAACTGTTGCTTACGCTGTTCAAAGTCACACAGTTCGAACAAATCCATTTATAGACATAACGGCATGATTTGGAAAATATACTGAAACATCAATCATGCACGATCAATCACAGTTGCAGCGTCTGATGCAGCCTAATAAAGTCTGCTTGTGCTTCCATATCAGATTCAGCACACTCATAGGCTGGCCGCCAACCATATATCACCATTTAGCGCTGCGCCATTCCTTATGCTCATGTAGATTGCGCCCATGCCCTCGTTGATACGACGTGGCCTAGTCACACAGAGTCAGGGCGTTGAGCAGGTCGGGGTATAAAAGTCTCCTCGATTCACCCATCCAAGGTGTATCCATTCAACACCACATTATACCAGTCTCTGCCACCTACTCGTATACTGCAATCTTACATTATGGGTCTTCTAAAACTCTTGCTCAAAGCAATCCTCATCCCAATCGTTGTCATCATTGTCATTGCTGTCGTTATTATCCTTCTCATCAAGATGCGCCGTGATCGCAAGAAGAAAGAAAAAGAACTGGAGAAATCCTTCCAACCACCCCCTGTACAGCAATGGGTGCCGTACACCCCGGTCCAGCAACCTGCCCCGGCATATGCCAAAACACCGGGGGTGATGGAGCAGGGGATTGGACATGGACAAGCTTGATAGACACTTTCTGTTGGGTAATTATGCCTTCCAGTGCGAAATTGGGAAATAGATTAGATATTATCTTTGCTAACCGCGGGGTGCGTGCTGCAGACTGTTCCGCTCAACATCTACACTATGGTTGGGCACTATGGTTGGGCTTTTTGTAATTCTGCAGAGGATTTTGTTTCAATTATCTCTATCGGATGTTCTTTTTTGCTAATGTAGCCCAAGGGCTAGTGGAATACCGATCATTGCATATATATTAGTGACTCTATTTCATATTGCTGGAACTTATACTACCCAGAGGAGCCAGCGAAAGCATTACTGTTCAGCACCTAGAACTGTTTATGCGCTTAGGCTCATAAATTTGCTCATATAAATCTCATTCCTGGCGCAAATAGGGAGGTTTACCATCTATATACTACTTCGTTGTAGACCATATCAAACTGATCCAAGGCGTTGCGTCTCGTGGGATCTTCATGTGGGTTTGCAATCATCTCCACCAACTAAGAACGGGATCACTATTAAAATAGCAAAACTGAATCACATTGACATGAAGGTAGATATTCAAGGCCTAGCTGAAGACATTGAAATTGCAGAAGAGCAGAATTCTCAAATCCATCTAACATAATCAAGGGAATCCCGAGGTACATAAGGCTTGCACACAACTGTCTGTTCCTAAGAAGCTTTAGGCCCCAAGATCCAAATAACACTCCAAGACCATGATGAGAAACAAGCAATACAGTAGTGTGACAAGTTTAGAAGGAAACTTGCTCAATCGTATCGCGACGCAGGACCTCGGCGTCTTCCGGCAGCAAAAACCCGGCTTTGATCTGTCGCTCGATGGCTTCTCCCGCCTGACGCCGATAGTTGGCTACCGTTTTGTAGACAGCCCACAACTTGACATCTTTGAAAGGGACCTCGGTGCCTGTCAATCATAACTAAGTTAGAACAATTGAAAGAGATTCTCGCGGACGTGAGAAACTTACCAGTGTGCCAATGAGGATGTGGCTGAGGGGTAACATCAATGATTTTGGCAGTAGGCACATCTGTATGAACAGTCCTGACTCCAGCAAGCGCATTTCCGTACTCGTCTCGCTCAATCTCCCCAGATTCGTCCATATCAATTGTTGTACCTCGCGGGGGAGCAACACCGGTCGTAATCCATTTGTCCATAGCACCAAAGAGTGCGTGATAAATGAAAGAATTCGCGAAAGTGCTCCACTGGGCACCTTCCAGATCCACAGCCAACAAACGCTTCTTATCGGCCATGGAGAGGTATCGGGTCTCGCGATGAGACATACCGGCAACTTCGTAGAGCCGGAATGACTTGCTATCAGCACGACGATGGGAAGGCTCTTTCTTTCCGCCGTAGAGGGCCTTGATGTAAATGAGCTCGAACTCACCAATAATCTCAATGATCTTTGCATCGTGCAAGTCTGGGAGCGGGTTGCCGGCATCACATTGGCATGGCATAAACCCCTCAAATGGGGCACATCCATCAGGAAGTCGGAGATGAAGAGACTCGAGGATGAACTTTCTTATCAAGTCTGCAGTCTGGGAAAGACCAGTTAGTATGACGCGCTCGGCCTTGATACCCAGCTGTCCCGATCTCAAAGCATGAGATGCAGCAACAAGAATCTCCGGAGACTGCCTAGTTGCGGCCCACCATCTTTCCTTGAAGATCCTGTAATTATCCCACAGCTCTTCTGCGTTATCGAAGGAGGGAATGCTGCTGGAAAACTCGTTCAAGGTCTGACAAGGGATAAAGTGCATGTCTTTGTAGCGTTCGGGATCAACGTTTTTGATCTGGTCAAGTGCCGCTGGAGCTTGCGAGTCAATTTCCAGCCAAGCGTGTCCTTCCGAGTATTAGCTCGGGCAATACACCAAACTATAATGAATGATAACTCACCATTGCGCATCAGCCACCGATTAATGAGACGCCAGATGGTTGTTCCACCCCATAGGTGAGATGGTTCCGCGATGACGAGACCGGAGAATTTGGCAGGATCCGCAGGGAAACGAAGAAGAAGACGTGTGCAGTATGAGTTCTCAACGGCGACGCCGGCCATCAGATATTCCCAGGAGACATAGTCATACACAGGAAGCAAGTCACTGTGCTGGAGGTCATATGTTATAGTCTTGGATGTTTCGGTCTCGGGCAGGAACGAGACAATTGGCTTTGTGACTCGGACGTGCACTCCTCGTTCTTCTTCAGTAGACATCTTGGCTGGCGTGCTCTGTTTGCGCTAAGATTGTTGGTTTTCAGTTCTCCAAATCCGAGATAGAGCCTATGAACCCTCGGTACATGCATGGAAGGGACCCACGAACTAGGGCCAGCAGTAACACGTGATGAGCTGTGTCGGTGGCAAGGTGACGTTGGCTTTTCTTGATAAGGCCGGTGTTGTTATTGAGACGCGAAGGGAACACGGGAAGAAGAAAAGAGAAGTGGAAGGGAAAGAAAACAAATACCGACTGAGTTCGTCGAAATGGAAAGGTGGGAAGGTGGTGGGTTGGAAGCAGCTGGGACAAACAAAAAGCTGGCCCACGCTTGTCAAAGCAGAGACATTCAGAAGACAAAGAGAGAAAGACATATATTCATCATAATTTTGATCTTAACCAACCCGAAACATAAACAGGAACGTAATAAGCATGTTCGAGACCTGGATTGTCTGTTACACTTTACACGAGTAACTCAAACACATCCAATCCCCAGAACCACTGTGCAATACCCATAGCCCCGACACTCATAGTCGCAGCCATGAGAAGGTTGACGCCATTGTTGTCCAGCCAGTCATGACCAGTTTCAAGGCGACGACTTTCGTGACTTTCATCGAGGACGTGTGTCACCTGGGTGCCATGCACTGCAGCTTTATGTATGCTACCGGTGGTTTTGGCAGTGCTATCAGTAGTAACAACCGGCTTGCCCGTCGAAGGGTGAATGATAACCTAGAAAATAGATTAGAAGTTTGCACAGAGTGGTCAAGGACACATAATCGTGAACTCACCTTCCTGCCACCGCTTCCCTCTACAACCTTCCCGCTCCTTTTATCGACAACACTGGCCTGCAAAAGTCCACCGAGAACACTGTCAAGAACGCTGCCTAACGTACCCCAGAGAGTCATAGCTATGGTCCACAGAGCCCGATCCTTCAATCCGGCACTGGCACAGAACGGGAGAACCGCAGCAGATGTTGCGGAAACAATGAACGAACCCAGAAGACCAGCTCCAAGGCCAGTTGCGGTAACACCACCATTTGTACCGGGAGGGACTTCACGGAGATTCAACGACGTGATTAGGCGGGGTTTGGATTTCGAGAGAATGCCGAGCTCGGAGGAGAATGTGTCGGCGGCTACAGCGGCGTAGTTTCTGCGAAAAGGAACCGATTAGTTATATGCTCTAGAACAGATAATGCATGCATAGAAAGTGAAGTTGAGTGACGTACGCTACAATCCCAACAATTAATATATCAGCCGCATTCTGACCGAGTGAGAAGCACGATTCAGTGCCTGCTGTTTTGGCCAGGATGGCCGCATGAGCGATCGATAATATGGTAGCAACAACAGAGTTCGCTAGGACTTGGATATGGTTCCGGGGGCCTTCGCCACCTTCCGCACCGGTTGCAGAGAGTGTCAAATGCGACTTGATCTCATGTTTTACCTATCATCACGATCTTGTAAGCTGCGCCCATAACATATATGTAAGCTGAGAAGTAGGTCGCTTCCTACCTTTGTGACCTTAGTCCCACTAAAATAGAATACCGCAAGGAGCGCGACTGGTGCCGACCATGGGTGGAGAGCGTGAGCGGAGGCTGAACATCCCGCAACGACCAGGCCGAGCGGGGTAAGAGATTTTCGCGACCAAGCTCGATAGACAAGTCCAATCACAAGAGGTATGCCTATATAGGGTTTCATTTTTTTGGCCTTGTGATCTCGAGTACGTTCATTTGTTGGGATAGATGGTGGTTGAGATTGAACAGGTGTAGCAGAGGAGGATCGTAGCTTGGGTGGAGTCCGAAATAAGCTTCATCACATGACATAAATTCCACTCTTAAACAGAAGAACGGCAAAAATGAGACGTCTTACCAAGGAGATGGGCCCCTTGGGAGTATAGAAAAGAAAATGAATACGTTCTCTTCGAAGGAGATTCCCAAAATCAAACAAAAAATCAATATTCAACTAGGTATAGTATGTGCCGAGTCAATATATAGACATCAGAATATTGTGCGCCTTTTCGCTCCTCGGGGTATGTCCAAAATCCAGGAAGTATAGTATACAGGGCGCAAATTAAAATCAAAATTATTGACAAAGAAAACGGAAATAGATCCAAAATCAAGACGAGTGGTAGCCGAAAGAATCTCAGCAGATATTCAGCAGTCTTGCTAAAGTGCGAGACCACTGCCATCGCCGCTCCAGCGGTAAAGGGCTAGCACCTCGCGCCTGCGGGACTGCTGCTCGCCGAAGTCCTCTGGGACACGGCCACGGACTTGTGCTAGCGCAGATCGCATCACTTTTCGGAACGTTCGCTGTAGGATATTAGCTTCTGTAAATCTAAGGCTTGGTCACGGGTAAACCTTACTTGATATTCAGTGTTCAAAGTCACGACGCAAGCCTCATGCGCTCGGACGATTGTTTCACAGGCCCGAACAACACTGGGACTGGCATCTCCTTGCAATTTATCGGCAGTCAAAAGTAGCAAGAAGCTACCTTGCAAAAGATATATGCCAAAGAAGAAGGGCATGAAGCTTAGATCGGGGTCGTATTCCAAAATTTCCGCGGCCGCCTCAGCAGAGCTGACTGCATGGCCCATGGCGGTGATAAAGGACTCAGAAGAGATCCAGAGATCGTTATCGTCGAGCAGGTTGATAGGGTCCCACTTCCCAGCCAGCAGAATGTGGAGTACATGCATAATGTGGGTGCCATAGGCAACCACCATCTTCGTATGAACGATGGACTCACTCACATGCGATCCTACGGTGCTAATAGACCGACCAGACGGGCTGACATGGTTAATGTTGG